TCGCAGAGGTTCACCTGCAGGTGCCCGCCAGGGGCCTCCGGGGACAGGTGCCAGTACCAGGGCCTCACCTGCCGGGGGCGCCTGCCCCCTGCTCCCAGCACCTGTCCTCTACACCACCGGCGCCACACAAGATATGTGCTGGAGCCTCTCGCGGCCACCTGTGTCCTAGTGGAGGGTAGGTGTGGGGGTAGTGGGTGTGGTGGGTGTGGTAGGCAGGTGGGGGTGGTGGGTGTGGTAGGCAGGTGGGGGTGGTGGGTGTGGTGGTCAGGTGTGTGGTGGTCAGGGAGGTGTGTGGAAGGCATGTGAAGGGTGTTAATGTAGATGAAGATATTTTGTAAGTTTGGGATGTGGTGATTGTGGTAGTCATGTAGCAGTTGTTGTGGAGGTGTAGTAGACAAGTATGTGGCAGAAAAGTAGAATAAAGAAGTAGTGGAAGCCACCTCCATCCACAACTTTAAAGCCCGACTCAACAAGGAATAAAATCGTCAGAAAAATCATGTTATAATGCAACAGGTACAGTATGGGTAGTGGGCATAAAGAGCAAGACCTCACTCCCCTGTAGTCAGTCAGCGATAGGTAAGCTTTAGGCCTTACACTATTTCCTGTATTCTCATGGTCTGGTCTCGTACATTACCCCAAACATCCTGCCTTGCCATGGTGAGGGAGGTCAACGTAAGACTCCCTAAGGTCGGTGGAGCTCGTCTCGGCCCCAGTTTCTGGTCGAATTCGAGCATAGTACGTGCGACCCCTTCAAGAGTTTCACCTTGTTGTGGCGAGGGGATCAAAGACAACTGTCTGGGGCGGTGAGAGTTGCCTCGTCTTCCCCTCAGTGGGACCACCTCCAGTGGCTTCATCTTCCGTTATGACAACAGCACCTTTTACCCCGCTCCTTACTGGAGGAGCACGGTGCTGCACCTGATCTCGGACACTTTGAGTGCTTCAAACTCCATATGTTCAGGCTTTGCTTGTCCCTGCAACATGGCCCATGAATTTGGATTTTTGTCATGATGAGCATATGTGACCAGATGATTTACACACACACACACAAGCATTTGGTTAACTCTCAGGATACCTATTTTACTTTTAACCCCACCCGGCTGGCACCCGTGGTGTTGCAGCACTATCTCAGGAGGCAGCCGCACCCCTGGCTACGTTGTCCTGCATTAGCGAGACTCTGCTTCGGTCTCCAAAAATGCCTAGTTAACTGTCAGCATTGGCACAGACATTCTCCTGCACCGTGATGCGACTGGGGATAGGAACCTCAAGGACTGCCATGAGAATATTAAAGGTTATTCCATCCTGCATATTGCTACCTTCACTTGACCCCCCTCGTGTTCGTCGTCGTCGTCAGTACCTTCGAATAGTCATGGTCAGTTTTGATGAAGTCTTCCGTAATTCTTGTCGGTGCCAGTCATTGTGTTCAAGAATACATCCCTTCTCCACGCCTTTGCAATAGGTGTTGGAGATTGAAAATGCTCTCTGCAAGTATACTATTGTGAAATGTCCCCTTGCCCCTTGTGTATAGACCCTGCTCATTCTAACAGTGCTTTTCTTCCCAGACTCAATCCTCGTCCTGCTTTCTCGCCACATGCATGCACTATAAATTTGAATAAGCCTTCCTTAATCTAAAACATCGCGATCATATATCTTAACCTGAAGCAAGTTCCCAGTTCTGCCATCTTACCTCTTTCTCCCACATGACTTATGCTTGTGCGTTGCATCGCACTTCTTTTCCCCGCCCTTCTTCCTTTCTAGAACAGTTTCTAGACCTTAAACCCTAACACCACATCTTTTGCTCTTATGCAATCTGAAGCTGAGGGTGTTCCTCATGGTTCACAGACTGGTGTTTCTTCCCTTCCTAGTCGTCTCCTACTCTTTGTGTAACCTCACCACCTCCCCAAGGTCTCTGTCTACTGCCACCTTACTCTTCGACCCCATAATTCTTCGTAGCTTTCCCCGTTTGTCTTTTGGCCCTCCCTGACAATTGTCCGTCCAGGCTGATATCCATACTCTTCCCAGCTATACCAGCTGAACGCTCTGGTTCTCCCTCTCCACCTGAGACTGGAAGCTGTTGCACAGAACATTGTTAATGGTACACCTATGTGTACCATTAACAATGGTAGTAGCATGTCTGGACAAGGGTAGCATGTCCAGATGGCCTTTCTCCTACCACCGTAACTGGTGATGGGAAACAGCTCAGGCGAGGTTAAGTATTAACCATACACGTTTAACTCACGGTCACTTAATGGAGCACCACCCTGCTCCTTATTGTCCAAACTGCATTCTCTCTCATACAGTCGTGCATGTCCTGGCTGACTGGACTTCCAGGACGTGCGTATCTTGCTTCCCAACTGTCCCTCGCGGTCATTTGTCCGGTGATAGAATCCTTTGTGAATCAGATATCTATGATTTCCTTCCCCTTATGCGCTTTTATTCTCGTATTTGCATCCTCAGCACCTTTTGAACATACCACACATTTGAAGGTGCTAATAGCCTTCTTGGGTTGGTGATTTCGTTTGATAATTACTCGCCACCTTGTGCTTGTAGTGTGCTTTGACTCTTACCCTTCAGATAACCTGTTTTCTTTCACCATCTTCCCTTTTTTGTACGGATGTCTAGCTTGCAAGATTCCCTCTCGGTTCACATTTACAGTCTCTCCATGTTGGTCCGTCCTTGCTCCCATGGAGGGTTCCACTTGCTGTTGCAATCCATGCCCTTTTCCCAGATGGGTCCAATTCTGACGAGGGTGTTGAATACTCCATTGTATTTCCTGACCAAAGCTGTGTGTGCTACTTCCCCCGGAGACTTTGTGCAATCTTGTGTGCTTGTCAAGTGCTTTTCCAACCTCAACGTTCCTTTCCCTTGACACTGACTCTCACAGTAATATAATGGCTCTGGAGTCATTTAACCCTTTGCATCCTGTGGTAGTCGAAATCCAATATCTCTTATCTCAAGACAGTTGAGTTTTCATGAGTTCCCAGCCATATTGGTATTAAATGAACGTGTGGACATTGCCGCTAAAGAAGCTGTTTACACTTGCCCTTCCCAAGAAACTAACGCTGTCCTCTCCCTGCATGTGACAGTGTGTGAAGAGGAGGCGCAGACGGGGTTCCTCTCACAGGAAGTGTGTGAACGCGCCTGCACCGTCGGCGCCTGCTGCCTGGTACCTGCAAAGTCACCCAGCGACACCCCGGCCTGCACGGTACGTTCTTAAAGTACACCCAACGGCTTCAGGGACGGGGTACAGCCACGGGCTTCAGGGACAAGGGAACAGTCATGGGCTTCAGGGACAGGGGTGCAGCAACATGCTTCAGAGACAGGGGTACATACACGGGCTTCAGGGACGAGCTTCAGGGACAGGCTTCAAGGACGGGCTTCGGGGACGGGGGTACAGTCACGGGCTTCAGGGACGGGGTACAGCCACGAGCTTCAGGGACGGGGGTACAGCCACGGGCTTCAGGGACGGGGGTACAGCCACGGGCTTCAGGGACGGGGGTACAGCCACGGGCTTCAGGGACGGGGTACAGCCACGAGCTTCAGGGACGGGGGTACAGCCACGGGCTTCAGGGACGGGGGTACAGCCACGGGCTTCAGGGACGGGGGTACAGCCACGGGCTTCAGGGACGGGGGTACAGCCACGGGCTTCAGGGACGGGGGTACAGCCACGGGCTTCAGGGACGGGGGTACAGCCACGGGCTTCAGGGACGGGGGTACAGCCACGGGCTTCAGGGACGGGGGTACAGCCACGGGCTTCAGGGACGGGGGTACAGCCACGGGCTTCAGGGACGGGGGTACAGCCACGGGCTTCAGGGACGGGGGTACAGCCACGGGTTTCAGGGACGGGGGTACAGCCACGGGCTTCAGAGACGGGGGTACAGCCACGGGCTTCAGGGACGGGGTACAGCCACGGGCTTCAGGGACGGGGGTACATCCACGGGCTTCAGGGACGGGGGTACAGCCACGGGCTTCAGGGACGGGGGTGCAGTCACGGGCTTCAGGGACGGGGGTACAGTCACGGGCTTCAGGGACGGGGTACAGCCACGAGCTTCAGGGACGGGGGTACAGCCACGAGCTTCAGGGACGGGGGTACAGTCACGGGCTTCAGGGACGGGGTACAGCCACAAGCTTCAGGGACGGGGGTACAGTCACGGGCTTCAGGGACGGGGTACAGCCACGAGCTTCAGGGACGGGGGTACATTCACGGGCTTCAGGGACGGGGGTACAGTCACGAGCTTCAGGGACGGGGGTACAGTCACGAGCTTCAGGGACGGGGGTACAGTCACGGGCTTCAGGGACGGGGGTACATTCATGGGCTTCAGGGACGGGGTACAGCCACAAGCTTCAGGGACGGGGTACAACCACGAGCTTCAGGGACGGGGGTACAGCCACGGGCTTCAGGGACGGGGGTACAGCCACGGGCTTCAGGGACGGGGGTACAGCCACGGGCTTCAGGGACGGGGGTACTACAGCCACGGGCTTCAGGGACGGGGGTACAGCCACGAGCTTCAGGGACGGGGGTACAGCCACGGGCTTCAGGGACGGGGGTACAGTCACGGGCTTCAGGGACGGGGGTACAGTCACGGGCTTCAGGGACGGGGTACAGCCACGAGCTTCAGGGACGGGGGTACAGCCACGAGCTTCAGGGACGGGGGTACAGTCACGGGCTTCAGGGACGGGGTACAGCCACGGGCTTCAGGGACGGGGGTACAGCCACGGGCTTCAGGGACGGGGGTACTACAGCCACGGGCTTCATGGACGGGGGTACAGCCACGAGCTTCAGGGACGGGGGTACAGCCACGGGCTTCAGGGACGGGGGTACAGTCACGGGCTTCAGGGACGGGAGTACAGTCTCGGGCTTCAGGGACGGGGTACAGCCACGAGCTTCAGGGACGGGGGTACAGCCACGAGCTTCAGGGACGGGGGTACAGTCACGGGCTTCAGGGACGGGGTACAGCCACAAGCTTCAGGGACGGGGTACAGCCACGAGCTTCAGGGACGGGGGTACATTCACGGGTTTCAGGGACGGGGTACATTCACGGGCTTCAGGGACGGGGTACAGCCACAAGCTTCAGGGACGGGGTACAGCCACGAGCTTCAGGGACGGGGGTACAGTCACGGGCTTCAGGGACGGGGTACAGCCACGAGCTTCAGGGACGGGGGACCATTCACGGGCTTCAGGGACGGGGTACAGCCACAAGCTTCAGGGACGGGTACAGCCACGAGCTTCAGGGACGGAGTACAGCCACGAGCTTCAGGGGCGGGGGTACAGCCACGGGCTTCAGGGACGGGGGTACAGCCACGGGCTTCAGGGACGGGGTACAGCCACGAGCTTCAGGGACGGGGTACAGCCACGGGCTTCAGGGACGGGGGTACAGCCACGGGCTTCAGGGACGGGGGTACAGCCACGGGCTTCAGGGACGGGGGTACAGCCACGGGCTACAGGGACGGGGGAACAGCCACGGGCTTCAGGGACGGGGGTACAGCCACGGGCTTCAGGGACGGGGGTACAGCCACGGGCTTCAGGGACGGGGGTACAGCCACGGGCTTCAGGGACGGGGTACAGCCACGGGCTTCAGGGACGGGGGTACAGCCACGGGCTTCAGGGACGGGGTACAGCCACGAGCTTCAGGGACGAGGTACAGCCACGAGCTTCAGGGACGGGGGTACAGCCACGGGCTTCAGGGACGGGGGTACAGCCACGGGCCTTCAGGGACGGGGGTACAGCCACGGGCCTCAGGGACGGGGGTACAGCCACGGGCCTCAGGGACGGGGGTACAGCCACGGGCCTCAGGGACGGGGGTACAGCCACGGGCCTCAGGGACGGGGGTACAGCCACGGGCTTCAGGGACGGGGGTACAGCCACGGGCTTCAGGGACGGGGGTACAGCCACGAGCTTCAGGGACGGGGGTACAGCCACGAGCTTCAGGGACGGTACAGCCACGAGCTTCAGGGACGGTACAGCCACGAGCTTCAGGGATGGGGTACAGCCACGAGCTTCAGGGACGGGGTACAGCCACGAGCTTCAGGGACGGGGTACAGCCACGAGCTTCAGGGACGGGGTACAGCCACGAGCTTCCTGGACGGGGGTACAGCCACGGGCTTCAGGGACGGGGGTACAGCCACGGGCTTCAGGGACGGGGGTACAGCCACGGGCTTCAGGGACGGGGGTACTACAGCCACGGGCTTCAGGGACGGGGGTACAGCCACGAGCTTCAGGGACGGGGTACAGCCACGGGCTTCAGGGACGGGGGTACAGCCCCGGGCTTCAGGGACGGGGGTACAGTCACGGGCTTCAGGGACGGGGGTACAGTCACGGGCTTCAGGGACGGGGTACAGCCACGAGCTTCAGGGACGGGGGTACAGCCACGAGCTTCAGGGACGGGGGTACAGTCACGGGCTTCAGGGACGGGGGTACAGTCACGGGCTTCAGGGACGGGGTACAGCCACGAGCTTCAGGGACGGGGGTACATTCACGGGCTTCAGGGACGGGGTACAGCCACGAGCTTCAGGGACGGGGGTACAGTCACGGGCTTCAGGGACGGGGTACAGCCACGAGCTTCAGGGACGGGGGTACATTCACGGGCTTCAGGGACGGGGTACAGCCACAAGCTTCAGGGACGGGGGTACAGTCACGGGCTTCAGGGACGGGGGTACAGCCACGGGCTTCAGGGACGGGGGTACAGTCACGGGCTTCAAGGACGGGGTACAGCCACGAGCTTCAGGGACGGGGGTACAGCCACGGGCTTCAGGGACGGGGTACAGCCACGAGCTTCAGGGACGGGGTACAGCCACGAGCTTCAGGGACGGGGGTACAGCCACGGGCTTCAGGGACGGGGGTACAGCCACGGGCTTCAGGGACGGGGGTACAGCCACGGGCTTCAGGGACGGGGGTACAGCCACGGGCTTCAGGGACGGGGGTACAGCCACGGGCTTCAGGGACGGGGGTACAGCCACGGGCTTCAGGGACGGGGGTACAGCCACGGGCTTCAGGGACGGGGGTACAGCCACGGGCTTCAGGGACGGGGGTACAGCCACGGGCTTCAGGGACGGGGGTACAGCCACGGGCTTCAGGGACGGGGGTACAGCCACGGGCTTCAGGGACGGGGGTACAGCCACGAGCTTCAGGGACGGGGGTACAGCCACGGGCTTCAGGGACGGGGTACAGCCACGGGCTTCAGGGACGGGGGTACAGCCACGGGCTTCAGGGACGGGGGTACAGTCACGGTAGAGATAAAGAGGAGAGGATGATGTGTTAATTTAGGATATACATAAAACTCTGGATTAAATACCGTGTGTCTTCAAGCTAATGGGTGATGTCAATGTTACATTAACAAACATTTTGCAAAATCTTAAGGGCATTATCACGAGATAATTTGGCACCGTGATAACACAGTAACAGAGTGCACCTCTGTGGCACTCCCTCAGGTGACCTCACTGCAGGAGTGTGTGGCCCTGGACCACGCTGAGGACCTCCTGGTGGTCTCCTTCACTCCAGCCGCCACCTCTGCCCTCCCACCTGCCCTGCTCCCACTCCCAGGTGAGTCGGCCTCCCACCTGCCCTTCTCCCTCCCCCCCACCCCCCCCTCCCTTTCAGGCTCGTTGTCGTCGTGAGGGGGCTTGGGGGGCGGCTGCCAGAGTGTGATGCTCCATGGAACAATCCTCTGTCGTTTTGAATTCTTATACTCCTGCTGCTGCCTTCACAAGTCTTGCCAGATGTCTTTTCCTTTTCCTTATGTTCCATTTTTCTCCCCCCTCTTCTCATTTCTAATGGTCATTTTCCACCAACCTTTTCTCCGTCTTGATTCTTCTTTTGGACATCTTCTGTTCTGACGCTCGGGTATTTGAGGAGGCATAATCTCCCATAGAACTGTGGTACCCAGCGTCGTGAGCGAGGGAACACATTTATTGTCAATCCTCATTTCGTCACTGAACCCAATCTCGACGGACTGACGGTTCATAAGGTGGCGATTGTGGGGAGTATACTCACGACGCATCCCTGGGGGGGGGGGCGGCAAGACCTGTCTCATGTTGGATGTCCTATCCTCTAATTGTGGCTTCGTAGTAGGTACGGGAGTACATTCGTGAATGAAAGTATTACTTCTCGTTTTCATGTCGCTGAATACTGTTCCTCTTATGACTTCTCAGGCTCGTGGGGTGGGCAACCAAGCCCCCGAGTCGGACTGTGATTGAAGACGTGACTCTAGCCCCCCGTGTTACGGCCACAATGGGTCGCAACTGGGTTCTTTGCTGGTGGAACTAAAGTTCTGGTATCCGGCCCCAAGTTAGTAGTGGCTTTCAAGGAGTGAGCTCGGTAATGCAAGTAAAACACAATGGGGGAGGTGCATTGAATACGACACTTCATCAATTATCAATATATTCACACAAACACTTTCCCATCACCTCATATATAATCCTAAAGGAAGTATTACTGCACTTAATATGTACACAAATGTCTCTCTCATAGGACACTAAACACTCCTCGATGCTCAATCGATGCAGTCTTGTCAGCTACTGTGTTTCCTCAACACACAGTACCGTCCTCAACCAGTACTGGGAAACACCAACGAGTCTATCCTAGCCACGGGCCAGCCAAAACAGTCTCACTAGGTGCTCTTCATGCACGCCCACACTCACTCTCCAGCCTGGTGCTGGCAGAGAACATCAGCCTCGCGCTGCTGGGCCTCTTCATGTACAAATACAAGGGTAGCGAACCCTTGGCAGGAGCTTCTTGCAACTCGCTGGTTACTCTCCTCCGTAGCACCTTACTGTCAGTCGTCTCTTCCGTTAGCCAGTCCCAGGTGCGCCGAATTCTGTCACTGCCACTTCACAGGCAGATAGAACACTACACAGATCTCCTTCTGCGGCTCACTGCTTCTGTAAAGCAGAATGGAGTAGAGAGATATTGGCTGCCCTGGGTAGATTGACTGTCCTCGTACCACAGCAGCCCTACGTCGACTCTGTGGATACATACATGGCATCAGTTCCCTGGTCAGTACATGGGACACTAGGAAACATCACTTACGTATTCTGACATAGACATACAACTCCTCATATAACAGAAGGCTCTGCTTTTCTAGGTGCCACCTCACCAGAGGTCAGCACCAGCTACCTCACGAGCTGACTAGGAATCTAGCGCCTCTTGCTGGTATAATCCTTGTCATCACTAGATGGTGTCGTCCAATTTGTGGGGGTTTCGCGAGCGGACTCACAGATGGCACTGACGTCGCTGCTCCATGCTCCGACGATGGAATCGGGTTTGTAACACCCCGCAACAATGGGCCCAGACCTAGCTCCTCCTTTGACCCTCCTGACTACTCCCCTTGGCCCCCCTCCCTCCTCTGTGGTTGGGTCGAGCCCCAAACCCCCATTGGTGACCACCTCATCCCCTGGCATGGCTCAGTCTCTTATTGTGTCTACTGCACCTTTTAACCCCTCTCTCTCTCTCTCTCTCTCTGGGGGTTCTCAACGCCGTCCCTGCCATGGTCGCTCTCGTACGATCCCTTCCCATACTAATACGTACCAGACCTTGTTTGGTCCTGTTTTATGGGCTAAATACATTGATCTCCTTTCTCTAGATTTTACTCCTACTGACGATTTCTCCCTCCATAAACACCTTGTTTATTCGGTAGATGCCTGTATTACTTTTAACCCCACCTGTTTCGGAACACGTGTCGTCACTGCTCCTTCTCAGGATGCAGCTACCCACATTGTCCTGCATTAGGAAGACCCCTGTTTGGATCTGCAAAAACGCTAGGTTAAATGCCAGTGTTGGCCCTGTTCTCCTCCCGCACTATTTTGCAATTGGTGTTAGGGACCTAAGAGACTGCCATTAGGATATTAAACATATCCTCGAAGCCCAAGGCCATCCTGTCCTAAAGGTGGACACGTTCACTCGATCCCTTCGTGGTCGTCGACATCAGCCCCTTCCACACTCTTATCGTTCTTGCTGGTGCCAGGAGCTACGTTCAGTAGTACATACCCTCTCCTAGACTTTGTAATAAGTGCTGGAAGTTCGGGCACGGTGCCCTCAAATGCACTAGTCTTGTGTGTGTATGCCCCATGTGTGGGAAGTATAACCACTCTAAGACAGATTGCTCATCTCCTCAGGCTTGCTGCCTCAATTGCAGTGATGCCCACCCTACCTTCTCCCGCAAATGTATACACTAGAAGCTTGAGGAAGCGGTCCTTAAGTTAAAACACTAGGATCGTTTGATTTCTGAAGCGAGACGGCAAGTCTGCTGTCTCCACCCTTTCACTGGCGTATCTTATTCTCGCGTCTTGCGTTCTACCTCTCCTCGTCCTTCACACCTTTCTCAGTCAGACAACCGTTTCCAGACCTTGGACCCGGACACGCCCACCACCTCTTTCCCTGTTCCTTTACGTTCTTTCCCGAAGGGTCTCCCCCTTAGTTCTCCATCTGGAGTGTTCCCCCTTCCTACCCAATCCATCATGTCTCCTGTGTCTTCTTTCCCATCTCCCCTTGATCCTTCTTCCAAACCCTCCCCCAAGTCTTTTGGCCCTCCATGCTGCCTATCTGTCCAGGCTGTTGTCCATCTTCCCAAAAATCTTCATGTTGTTCATTCCCGTTCTTCTTCTCCTGTTGAGACCATTGAGTCTGTCACCCTGTACATTGTTGCTGGAACACCTGTCTCTTTGAGTCAGAAACGTAAGCCTGGCTCCTCTCCTTCCTCCTCCCCAGCGAGTAAGAAGGCATCGCTTTCTTCCTCGCCTCCCACCCTCCCATTTCGGTGGTCGGGCCTCCTGTCCCAGCTATGGAGGTTTCTTTAACCTCTGATTCCCTCTTGGTTGCTGCCCTTGCCGAGGTGCGATCCCTGGTTTCTGCTCCTCCGCCCTCCTCCTCCTGTCCTTGACAGCCCTGCTCGGTTGTCTCCTCTGGACCCCGTCTGTCCGCCTCTGGTCTGTCCTCCTGCTCCCTTCCCTCCATCTTTACTAAGTTTACCCACGATCTCCTAACCCTGATTTTGCTGACCCTGATCCTAAGCTTATTTAATATACTATGTACTTCTTTACCATTGTTTCTTCAGTGTTCTCTGTTGCTGTCCTGCCTCTTTTTGATAATGTCTGTTCTTCAGTGGAATATTCGTGGATTTTATGCCAACTTCCATGAACTCCAACTTCTGATTACAGTTTTCACCACTTTGTGTTTGTCTCCAGGAGCCAATTCTTGGTGCTCGTCCTGGTCACTTTCGTGGTTATTCCTTTCTTTTCTCCCCCCCCCCCCCACCCTCTTGCTGGTTTCCATAACTCTACTGTTTTCTTGATTCGTACTGATATTCCCTTCGTCCCCCTACTTTTTATATCGCTTATCTATTGTTCTGCTGCCCGTGTTTTTGTGAGTAAATGGTATACAGTCTGTTCCATTTATCTCCCCCCAAATGTTCCACTTTCCCTTCCTGATCTTAAGCACCTCCTGGACTCCTTGCCAGAGCTGGTGCTCCTGTTGGGTGATTTCAGCTGTCGACATACCCTCTGGGGTGATGTTCTGACAAACACTGGGGGCCGCCTTCTCGAACCGTTCATCCTCTCTTCTTTCCTGTCACTTATGAATTCTTGAGCCCACTCATGTGGACTCTCGATCTCGCACCCTTTCCTGTCTCGATCTTTCTCTCTGCTCATCGTCCCTTTACTTAGACCTCACGTGGTGGGTTCTTGATAACCTCCATAAGTGACCATTTCCCCATCCTCGTTTCCTTTTTCTCTTTTCACCCTCCCCTCTCCTCCTCTAGGTGGCTGTTTGCCAAGATTGACTGGAACCTATTCACCCTCCGTGCTACTCTCTCTGACCTCCCTTCTCTACCTCTTCCTTGTGCCTTCCTCCTCGTTCATGACACCGTCTTCGACGTTGCCCTCCACTCTTTTAGTCGCTATACCTCCCGGGGCACGCGGAGGTGTGTTCCCTAGTGGAATGTGGACTGTGCTTGGGCTGTCCGCTGTAAGCGTGCAGCCTGGAAGAAACACTGACGCCGGCAGACGGCTGATTCTTTTATTTTGTTTCGGAAAGCAAGTGCAGTGGCCCGTAGGACCATCCGTACAGCTAAATGTGAGAGTTGGAAATATTATGTTTCCACCATTATGTCCGATACTCCTCTGCTGCAGATCTGGAAGAAGATCCGCAAGATTGCTGGGTAAGTTCGTTCCAGATGTCTCGCCGGTTCTTCACCTCCGTTGTACTCCTGTGGCAGACCCAGTGAAGGTCGAGTTGCCACTTTTCGACTATTAGCTCCGGTTCTCATCTCATCCCTTAGATTCCTGATTAGATCAACTAAGAGTAATAATATTGCATATGTGTAAAGAGGATTGTTTTCATAATTCTATCTAATACAATATTGACTGTGCTGATCTAGACAAATGGTGCTTACTAGATGCTGTGGTTGTATTACTTTGCAATGTTAATACTATTTCAAATGGGTGACGATGAGAAATTTCGTAACAAGGTACATTGTACACGTTGATAATGACGCTAAAGAGTGAGTCTCTCATAATGACGCCAAACTGAAGAATTATGACGGGACATGTTGGCGTGGGTACAGTCATCTACAGATCTCTGTCCCTCGGTCGTAATGTGTATGCGACCCAGGGACAGGGTGTCCCTCGCTCCCACTATATAATGTACATTGCAATATGACCACAGACACTTTGGTCGTATTATAATGTAAAGTGTTTTTTTAGGGTAAGTTTTGAAGAAGGAAAGTTCAAATCCATGAACGCGAAGGATCTCTGCTCATACCCCTTAATCTTAAGATAATTCCCACGTATGTTGAGGGCAAGCAATAAGTCTACCTCGCCCCTAAGTCCACCCAAGGGTTTGTTCAGATAGGTAATAATAACAATTATTTTAGGGTTGTTGCTAATGTTCATATAAATTATATGATCACTAATTATCTGCTTGTGACAGAGACGTGTGACTGCGGGGAGGAAGACAGCTCCGGCAGACGGCAGGAGGTGACCACCCTCTCGCCTCGCTCTCTCCAAGACCTCACCTTAGCCTTCACAAACCTCTACTCAAGTAAGAACTTAAAACTTGAACCCAACCCTTAATGACGTGCCTTCCCAAGGCATTATTATTTATGCGATGGTTCGGTATTTTGGGATCTCGGCAGTGTCAGTAACGCCAGCTCTCGTAACCTTGCTGTGCTCGCCGTGAACTCTAGCGGCCACCGGGGAGTGATACAGGCGGGAAACGGTACAGTTTACGAGTGTTAAAGTAGAAATCACCAGAAGAGTTGGAGGCGGCTGTACGCTCATAGGATGAGAGGAGGAATGTTGCTGTGAAGGTGGCACCTGACCTCTGGTGCCTAGTGTGTGTGTCACGGGGGAGGGGGTTAGTCGACCACGGTGGTAGTCGAACACGGGGGGGTAGTCGACCACGGGGGGATAGTCGACCACGGTGGTAGTCGACCACGGGGGGGTTAGTCGACCACGGGGGGTTAGTCGACCACGGGGGGGTTAGTCGACCACGGGGGGATAGTCGACCACGGGGAGATAGTCGACCACGGGGAGATAGTCGACCACGGGGGGATAGTCGACCACGGGGGGATTAGTCGATCACGGTGGTAGTCGACCACGGGGGGGTAGTCGACCACGGGGGGGTAGTCGACCACGGGGGGGTAGTCGACCACGGGGGGGTAGTCGACCACGGGGGGTAGTCGACCACGGGGGGGTAGTCGACCACGGGGGGTAGTCGACCACGGGGGGGGTAGTCGACCACGGGGGGTAGTCGACCACGGGGGGGGGGTAGTCGACCACGGGGGGGGGGTAGTCGACCACGGGGGGGGGGGTAGTCGACCACGGGGGGGTAGTCGACCACGGGGGTAGAATCTGAGATGAATTGTTTATCCCCAGGTTTACATGAGGAGAGATGAGGGGGGATAGACCAAGGGTGGTGAGGACCTTATAGTGAGTAGGGTGTGGTGGCTCAGGGGTAAGTCAGTTTGTGATATGACAGACGGTAAGACAGTAGGACTGTGTGTGGTGTGACAGACGGTAAGACAGCATGACTGTGTGTGGTGTGACAGACGGTAAGACAGCATGACTGTGTGTGGTGTGACAGACGGTAAGACAGCATGACTGTGTGTGGTGTGACAGACGGTAAGACAGCATGACTGTGTGTGGTGTGACAGACGGTAAGACAGCATGACTGTGTGTGGTGTGACAGACGGTAAGACAGCATGACTGTCTGTGGTGTGACAGACGGTAAGACAGCATGACTGTCTGTGGTGTGACAGACGGTAAGACAGCATGACTGTCTGTGGTGTGACAGACGGTAGGACAGCATGACTGTCTGTGGTGTGACAGACGGTAAGACAGCATGACTGTCTGTGGTGTGACAGACGGTAAGACGGCATGACTGTCTGTGGTGTGACAGACGGTAAGACGGCATGACTGTCTGTGGTGTGACAGACGGTAAGACAGCATGACTGTCTGTGGTGTGACAGACGGTAAGACAGCATGACTGTCTGTGGTGTGACAGACGGTAAGACAGCATGACTGTGTGTGGTGTGACAGACGGTATGACAGCATGACTGTGTGTGGTGTGACAGACGGTATGACAGCATGACTGTGTGTGGTGTGACAGACGGTAAGACAGCATGACTGTGTGTGGTGTGACAGACGGTAAGATAGCATGACTGTCTGTGGTGTGACAGACGGTAAGACAGCATGACTGTCTGTGGTGTGACAGACGGTAAGACAGCATGACTGTCTGTGGTGTGACAGACGGTAAGACAGCATGACTGTCTGTGGTGTGACAGACGGTAAGACAGCATGACTGTCTGTGGTGTGACAGACGGTAAGACAGCATGACTGTCTGTGGTGTGACAGACGGTATGACAGCATGACTGTGTGTGGTGTGACAGACGGTATGACAGCATGACTGTGTGTGGTGTGACAGACGGTATGACAGCATGACTGTGTGTGGTGTGACAGACGGTATGACAGCATGACTGTGTGTGGTGTGACAGACGGTATGACAGCATGACTGTGTGTGGTGTGACAGACGGTAAGACAGCATGACTGTGTGTGGTGTGACAGACGGTAAGACAGCATGACTGTCTGTGGTGTGACAGACGGTAAGACAGTAGGACTGTCTGTGGTGTGACAGACGGTAAGACAGCATGACTGTCTGTGGTGTGACAGACGGTAAGACAGCATGACTGTGTGTGGTGTGACAGACGGTAAGACAGGACTGTCTGTGGTGTGACAGACGGTAAGACAGCATGACTGTGTGTGGTGTGACAGACGGTAAGACAGCATGACTGTCTGTGGTGTGACAGACGGTAAGACAGCATGACTGTGTGTGGTGTAACAGACGGTAAGACAGCAAGACTGTGGTGTAACAGACGGTAAGACAGCAAGACTGTGGTGTAACAGACGGTAAGACAGCAAGACTGTGGTGTAACAGACGGTAAGACAGCAAGACTGTGGTGTAACAGACGGTAAGACAGCAAGACTGTGGTGTAACAGACGGTAAGACAGCAAGACTGTGGTGTAACAGACAGTAAGACAGCAAGACTGTGGTGTAACAGACAGTAAGACAGCAAGACTGTGGTGTGGCAGACAGTAAGACAGGACTATGTGGTGTAACAGACAGTAAGACAGGACTATATGGTGTAACAGACAGTAAGAGTCTTCATCGCACCAAACCTCTAAGCAGGCATTAACGGGCTAAGAAGCGGGAAAATTAGCTCTTGTCATGATTTAAGCTGTTAGGATAATAATGAACTCCCATGACTTTGATATATATATATATATATACACCGCCCTGGAGGGTGTGTGTGCTGGCGGGCCCGCCCGATGCTCCTGCACAACTCCTCTATCCTTACCGTCTCCTCCTACAGGTGGGTGGCTTCACAACTTTACTCTAGCCTACGCCGCCCACATCATGGCCGCCCACTGGCCGCGGGCGTGGCTGGGGGTGAACAGGGCGGCAGTACGAGCTGTGGAGGCGGAACTACAGCGGCTGGGCGGGTGTCATCTGCGGCTGCCGTACTGGGACTTCACCACCCACGCCAGGGACCTCTCTGGTGGGTCCTGCTGAAGGAAGGAAGGGTAAAGTATGGGGAGAGGGAGGAGTGGGTAGGAAAGCTGGCAAGGTGAAGGTGATGGAGAGAGAGGGGTAAAGGAAGAGAAGATGGGAAGAGGGTGACGGTAAACAAGAGGTGTGGTGTGACACACACATACACACACACACACACACGCACGCACAAATCACACACACATCACACACAAATCACACACAACAAACTCTCTCACTAATTCATTCGTTAATTCATTTATTCAGTCATTCGTCACCACCTGCGCTCTACTCACTGCAGCCTCTCACCACCACTAATACCCACCCGGTTACCATGAGCAAGCAGCGGGGCTGTTGATTACTGTATCAATAATTCCCGGACTTCCTCATATATAGTCGTAATGGCTTGGTGTTTCCCCTGATAGTTCCTTCCTTCACTCGTGTTGATTCCCGCACTTGCACCCTTTCCTGTGTTGATCTTTCTCTCTGCTCATCTTCTCTTTATTTGGACTTCACCTGGCGGGTTCTTGATGACCTGCATAAGTGACCATTTCCCCAGCCTTGTCACCTTCTCTTTTCACCCACCTCTTCCCTTCCCTAGGTGGCAGTTTGCCAAGGCCAACTGGAACCTCTTCACCTTACGTGCTACTCTTTCTGATCTCTGATCTGCCTTTTCCCTGAACCCTCCCATCCTCTTTCATGACACTTTTTTATGCTGTCCTCTGCTCTGTTTCCTGCTCTACCTCATGGGGGGCACGGAAGTGGATTCCTTGGTGGGATGCAGACTGTGCTCGGGCTGTCCGCTGTAAGCGTGCAGCCTAGAAAAAACACTGTCGCCGACAGATGCACGATTCTTTTATTTTGTTTCAGAAGGCGAGTGCAGTGGCATATAGAGCCATCCACATAACTAAGCATGATGGTTGGAGATCTTTAGTTTCCACCATTACATCTGACACTCTTCTCCCCTGATTTGAAAGAAAATCTGCAAGTATCGAGGGGGCTGGTTGGGGATTATACCCAAAAAGAGCAGGTTATTGCACCTGACTGTTACTTGCGTACAGGCGAAGAGAGACCCCATCCACTCACTGATAGAAAAACAGCCGACCTCGGCAACCACACTTCTGCTACCGTTGGTCGACCAGCAACTGGAGTGGACACTGGAGTGCTTGCAATTACCTGGGAGATCACCCTGTATGCTTCTTGATCTTGGAGAGGGGGTTTAACGTCACCTTCGTTTAAGGGTACGGCTCCTAAACTGGCCTTGTTGTCTTGAGTACACACCCTACTCGACCCGCTGTGACTCCCCACTCTCTCCTTGTTTGGTATGATCTTTTAAATCCCGTGTTAGTGAATTATTGTCCACTGTCACCCTGACTGCAACTCCAGACTTGAGCTCACACAGTTGCCTGGCAAGCTCCACACAGACACTTGCATATCCTCCTCCACCTGAGGATAAAAAGATTTAGAGCTCCATGCAGGTACGACCACCACTAGGTTTCAGGGCATTTCCATATCTTCACAAATACTGAGCAGTAACGTGCCCCTTTGGCAGCTTCCTCAACAGTTATACACTGCAGCTGGCACTCAAACACTTCATCCAGAGTCGCATTCCTTTATATTACAAAGACACCAAAACGCACGTCCACCTCTGATGACTGCAGCAACTCCAGTGGCGTTACGACATCATGCTAACATCATGTCACGTCATCAAAATATCGACATCCTATTTCCACTAACATTGATAAGATGCCCAACCTCTGCCTGTATCTTAAATCCCTCACTGACGTTTATTATATATATTTCTTCCGCTGACCTCCCAATTTCTGGTCAGGTGAGCAGAATAACTCTAATCAAGCAGACTCATTACTCCAGCCCCTCCCTATCTGACCCGTTGTCGTCGTGGAGGGACTTAGTGGGCAGCTGCCGGAGTGTGATGCTTCATGGGTCAGTCCTCTGTCCTTTTGGAGCCTTATGCTTCTGCTGCTGTCTTCTTGAATTCTGCTGGATAACTTTTCCTTTTCCTTCTGTTTCGTTTTTCTTCCCCCCCCCTTCCTTATCCTGACCCCTTCCCAGTGCTCTATAGTCGTAATGGCTTGGCGCTTTCTCCTGATTGTTCCCTCCCCCCTCCCCCTTTCTTATTGTCATTTCCCGCCGACCTTTTGATAGTTTTGATTATTTTTTTGGCCTTCTGTTTTCACGCCTTAGTGTTTGAGGAGGATCCGTAGAACTGTGTTACCCGACGTCTCGAGCGAGGGGACACTTTTATTTTCAATCCTTCTTTCGTCACTGAACCCGATCTCAACGGACTGATGGTTCTTAAGGTGGCGTTTGTGGGGGAGTATACTCACGACGCACCCCTGGGGGCCCCGGCAACATGTCTCTGGTTACATCCTATCCTTTAATTGTGGCTCCGTGGTGGGTGTGGGGGGACATTCATGAATGAAAGTCTTGCCTCTCGTTTATATGTTGCATACTGTTCTTCTTGTACCTTCCTGGGCTCTTGGGGTGGGCGACCAGGCCCCCCCCCCCCAGAGTCGGACTGTGTTGGAAGACCAACCTTTGTAGCCCCTGCTGCATTGAGCCCAGACCTTCCTCCTCCTTTGACCCCTCTGACTACTCCCCTTGGCTCCTCTCGCTCCTCTATGGATGGGTCGAGCCTGTTCGAAAACCAGGGTCTCTGGGCACTTCCCCTAAGGACTTTCATCCTATTTCCTTCACAAATTGTGTCTGCATACTCTTTGACGTATGGTTAACGTTCGTCTGATGTGGTTCTTAGAGCACTATCACCACCTCTCCCCTTCTCAATTTGGTTTCCGCAAGTGCAGCAGCACAACGGATGTCCTGGTGAACTGGGAGGTCTATATTCGTACTACTTTTGCTGCGAAGACTTTCGTTGTTGCCATCCTTTTTGTCCTAGAAAAGGCTTACGACACCACTTGGCGATATCATATTCTGTCTCAAATTCATTCTTTTGGCCTTCGTGGTCATCTCCCTCTCTTTCTCCAAAGCTTCCTCTCTCGTCGTTCCTTTCGGGTGAGGCTTGGTACCGCTCTCTCTGCCTCTTTTCAGCAATACGAAGGTGTGCCCCAAGGTAGTGTTCTGAGCACTACTCATTTTCTGGCTGCCCTCAATGACCTTTTTTCCTCACTTCCTTCTGGCATCTTCTCCGCTCTCTATGTCGACGATCTTACCCTTTGCTGTCGGTAATGATTCGCCTCTCCTTCAACGGCGACTTCAACTTGTGATTGATGCCGTGTCATCTTGGGGGCCACCGATCATGGCTTCAGGTTCTCTGCGTCTAAAACTTGTGCTTTAACTTTTACTTGGAAGCGCGTCGTTCTTCATCTTTCTTTGTCACCCCCCGCCAAACACACACCGAAACTACGACGTTGGTACAACGTTCGAACAAGTTTTAACACCTCCTAACCAGTTATAACAACCAATATAGCAAGTTGTAACAACGTTCTAATACGTCATAAACACGTTAAGCCAAGATGTAACAACTTTATTATAAGTTGTAACAAGCGGAAAATAGAGAGAGTTTTGGTTTGTGTTTCTAGGGCCCATTGTCAACAAGGATTCCGCTAAGCTTTTAGGGTTGATTTTTGACACTCGTTTGTCTTGGTCGCCTCATGTCTCTTACCTCCGAGTTGAATGTTCTAAAGCCCTTACCCCTTCTTCAGGTGTTGTCCCATATTTCTTGGGGAGTGGATAGGCGCACCATCCTCGCTTTACATTCCTCTCTCGTCCTGTCTAAACTCAATTATGGTTGCCCAACTTACTCGTCTGCTTCTCCTTCTACTCTTCACCGTCTTAATGCTTTGCACCATACTGGGCTGTGCCTCAGTTCTGGTGCCTTTCGTTCGACTCCTGTCCTCAGTTTATATGTTGACACTGGATTCCTATCTCTTCAGGACCGCTGTGATCGCTACTGTCTTCGCTATCTTGCACGAGCCTTGCAACATCTTTCCTCTCGCCTCTGTCGTGCTTTAACTTTTACCCCTCCTGGGGGTCCTGTTCCTATTCACCACCTCCCTCTTTCTGTCTAGTTATCTCGCTTACAGGATTCTCTTTCCGTTCATATTTCTAATATTTCTCCTGGTGCTGTTCCTTCTTTGCCCCCGTAGAGAGTCCCCCTTCCGCAGTTTTGTACGCCCTTAACCTGCATCACTAAAGCTTTTACCCCTCCTACGGTTCTGAAACGCCTTTCCTTGAGCCCTTTTCTTCACACTCCCGCTCCGTTTCCATCTTCACCGATAGGTCTAAGTCTGCAGACAGTGTGGGCTACTCTCTTGTTTTTCCTGACAGCACTTGTATGTGTTGCTTACCTCCAGAGACTAGCATCTTCACAGTGGAACTTTATGCTATTCTCTGTGCTCTTCGTCTCCTGTTTTCTCGTTGTCAATCTTCCTTTGTAGTTGTTGTTGACTCTCGTAGTACCTTCATGGTTCTCGGGTCCTTTAATCCGGTTCATCCAGTGGTTGTCGAGATACAATATTGGCTGTTTCTTATTCACAATAAATTTAAGTCAGTTGAGCTTTGCTGGGTTCCCAGCCATATTGGTGTCTTCTTAAACGAGTGTGCGGATGCTGCCGCTAGGGAAGCTGTCCGCTCTTGTCCCATATTTCGCAAAAGTATTCCTTATTCCGACTTTAACCCAGTTATTCATTCCTCCATGCTTACCATTTGGCAGGCTTGTTGGTCTTCTGTTACTGATAACAACCTGCTTACTCTTAAGAGTTGTGTGTCCTCGTGGCCGTCCTCCTACCACCATAACCGGCGATGGGAAACGGCTCTGGCGAGGAGGCATATTGGCCATACTCGCTTAACTCCTGGTCACTTAATGGAGCGCCGCCCTGCTCCTTAATATCCAAATTGCATTGTTCGTCTTACGGTCGTGCATATCCTTGTTGAATGTCCTGACTTCTGGGACGAGCATGTCTTGTTTTCCGACCGTCCCCCACGGTCGCTTGTCCCTCGATAGAATTCTTGGTGAATCGGATACTTTTGATATCGTTTGCCTTATGCATTTCTGTTTTCGTATTGGCATCCTTGGTCATATTTAGCGCCTTCTGATTATTCCGCACATTTGATGGTGCTTCATAGCCTTCCCGGTTTGGTGCCTTCTTTTGATAATTACTTACTTGTGATAATAGCTTTTTACATTTTCAGAGAACGACGTGTGGTGGAAATTCCCGATCACAGTTTCGGGTCTGGTAGCAGGGGCTGAGCTCGACATGGAAGGATTGCTCTCGGTAAGTATTTTATCTATCTTTATAAACCACAAATATAAAAATCTCTTTGGAACAATAATCTGTTAATAACCACTGAGGTTTCCGATAACGTCTTTTGATTTCCCAAATACGACACAAGCTGTTCACATTCTTAAACACAAAAGAAAACAAGACCCTCTGCATGTTCCTGACCAACCCGTTCTCGCAAATTTAATAAGTCAATATTGACTTATTAAATATGTGCATAGGTGACATACTTAACATAATAGTTTCCCTTGAAAAGCTTCATAGAAAACACGACCTTACCTAACCTACTTAGTATGTTAAGATAAGCAAGCATCTTATTGCTTCGTAATATACAATTATTACCTAACCTATAGCTATAATAGGTTAAGTAACAATTGTAATTACGAAGCTATAAGATGCTTATTTTAACATACTAAGTAGGTTAGGTAAGGTCGGTGTTTTCTATGAAGCTTTTCAAGGGAAACTATTATGTTTAGTATGTCACCTATGCATGCAACTAATAAGTCAATATTGACTTATAAATTTGCGAGAACGTTGTCCTGACGGAAGTAGAACGGTCAGGGATAAACGTCGGATAAATCTAATCACACACACGCACACACGCGAGAGAGAGACCATTTACATACAGCACTGCAGAACTCTCCCAACATTATGTGCTGGGCAGCTCAGGTGAAATTCATTTTTTAATGAATAAATGTTTATTCCATTAATAACCTGATTTTCAGTGTTTTGGTGCTCTCACCAGCTGCATGGTAGTACGGGTAACCATCTGGTAAAACTAGGTGACTGTCCTATAGCCTGGGTGCTCTCTCAAGCTGGTCCACAATAAAGTATTTGCCTTGTCACAGTGATGGAACTCATGTACTGTGTTTCGAGGGTGGTGGGTATAAACGAGAACAACGTGCGCCTGTGGATCTGTAATGCATAGTTTGCTGTACATGGAGACCCATATACTTCTCGTCTACCTTCGTCCGGAGGTTGATCCCCTCCAGCTATTATGACTCCTGGTGGGTAGGGGGGAGGGGGATTGAGGGGTTTTACACTTTCTTGGGTGAGGGATAGCGATAAAACGGGAGGTTTACTGTGGTCTGAATAAATTAATCGGCTATTCTGGCAGGTAGATCTGTAGCTGGAATTGAATGAAGTGGGTATTGGAGTTTTTTTTTACCACAGACGTGGCCACACATTTACAATGCTAACCAGCATATATACATTTTCTTCTGTCCTCCATGGACAGGGTTAGAGATGTATTAAAAATATAGTTCAGGGGTTTATTGAACAATCAACCACAGAAGGTGATTTGGTGCTTTTAAAATGCTAAGGTAACGTACATACGTAAATACATTGTGACGATAATCTCTTTCAAGAGAGATTGAGCCTGCTCTTCTCTACATAAAGTTACTTATATATACAACAATAAGATGCTACATTCAAGATACGTCTACCAGTAGCACAAAACGTTTTGACCAGGAGGCAAACGTACCCAAAACTCCCCCCTACTCCACACTCCCTCCATGACGGCTCCGTCATCAACCAGCAAACTACCATTCCCAGCCTGCCTGCTGCTGATTGGTGACCCGCCGACTGCACACCTGCACCTCTGCACCCTCTACTTAGTCGATGTCTGGGCTTGAACCAGTCATTGAAGTTAGAATATCTTGTGCTCTCAAACTGTGAACAACTAACTGATATACGGTCTATCAGGTGGACGTTTCTCGGCTAGCGCTTTATTCTCAGCACCTGTTTAATCACTTTTCTGTCTTTATATTATAGAGTAACGTCATTCCTGTTCTTAATTTTTATATTATATTTTTTGACATGTTTGTTTGCATTGTACATAGCCAAGGGATTCTTTTGTTCATAATTTGTTTTCAATATTAATTAAAGTTTCATTGTTCATACTATGTGTTTTGCGTGTCTTCCCTTAATTTACTACAAACAACAGCCAAGCTGTCTATTTTTTTTTTTTTTTTTAAATGTGACTAGGCATTGACACCAGCCATTAGGAGGACTGCCGAACATCTACACTCCTACACTTTCCCGTCACAACATAAATACACAGATTTACGTATGCCCTACATAAAGTGTTCGATGTGTCTTTTACGTAGTGTCATTAATGTGCATTTACAAAGGTGAAATGTAATTCTGATCAGCTTCCATATATACTCAAGAGAGATTGAGCCTGCTCTTCTCTACATAAAGTTACTTATATATACAACAATAAGATGCTACATTCAAGATACGTCTACCAGTAGCACAAAACGTTTTGACCAGGAGGCAAACGTACCCAAAACTCCCCCCTACTCCACACTCCCTCCATGACGGCTCCGTCATCAACCAGCAAACTACCATTCCCAGCCTGCCTGCTGCTGATTGGTGACCCGCCGACTGCACACCTGCACCTCTGCACCCTCTACTTAGTCGATGTCTGGGCTTGAACCAGTCATTGAAGTTAGAATATCTTGTGCTCTCAAACTGTGAACAACTAACTGATATACGGTCTGTCTATCAGGTGGACGTTTCTCGGCTAGCGCTTTATTCTCAGCACCTGTTTAATCACTTTTCTGTCTTTATATTATAGAGTAACGTCATTCCTGTTCTTAATTTTTATATTATATTTTTTGACTTGTTTGTTTGCATTGTACATAGCCAAGGGATTCTTTTGTTCATAATTTGTTTTCAATATTAATTAAAGTTTCATTGTTCATACTATGTGTTTTGCGTGTCTTCCCTTAATTTACCACAGACAACAGCCAAGCAGTCTATTTTTTTTTTTTTTTTTTTTTTTAAATGTGACTAGGCATTGACACCAGCCATTAGGAGGACTGCCGAACATCTACACTCCTACACTTTCCCGTCACAACATAAATACACAGATTTACGTATGCCCTACATAAAGTGTTCGATGTGTCTTTTACGTAGTCTCATTAATGTGCATTTACAAAGGTGAAATGTAATTCTGATCAGCTTCCATATATACTTTATACACATACATATACACACACACACGTACATATATACATACATATATATACACACACACATGCATTCACATACATTTGTCTCTTTTACTCTGACAGGGTGAGATAGCTGATAGAGAAACTAATGTGCAATTAAGCATTTGATACATAATTGATACATTACATGGTTAATCTTGGGTACAAGTCCAATATATCATCAAGTGTTCCAGTACTCATATAGTAATTACAGAGTTCAGCATACCTTAGCCCAGGAGGGCGAAAGTCAGTCAGTATGGGACATTCTACAATATAATGTTCAAGAGTGCATGTTTTCTCTTTCACAAAGTTGACACATTGTGTACTCGACATTTGGGTTTTGAGAGCTGCCAGATACGTCTATATCCCAGGCGTATTCTGCCCACTATAACATCACATTGCCGGGTTCTTGTTCTATTAGTCCCATATGTGAATGTCTCCTCACGATATCTATCATAATATTTAATGCTACAACTTTCAGGTCTTTGTGAATTTGTTAGGTCGGTGAGATCTTCATTAGATATTTGTTTAAGTATTCTCTTTGTCACTGCTAATGAAACACCCATATCAATTTCTACCACTGGTTTTCTACAAGCTGTCTTTGCAACCATATCAACAGTGTCATGCCTTGAGATGCCAACATGTGATGGTATCCATAGGAATTTAATTTCAAATCTGTTTTCTTTAGCAGCTAAAACATTCATTCGAATATCACTGACAATTTTCTGGGTGTCACTACCATGTGCGTTCAATGCCAGGAGTGCACTCTGCGAGTCAGTATACAAGTCCACTGCCTTTGTCTTTTAAAAATTCAGTGACAAGGTATATGCCTGGAAGTTCGGTTTGAGTTGTACTTGCCCAGTCATTGACGCGCTTCATTGCTGTATGTAAGAGAGAAGATTGTTCAAATATATTGCATGCACATCCGGTACATCGTCCACCTTCTTCTACAGAGCCGTCGGTATAGCACTGATACACATCGTTACCCATACTCTGAGTACTTTCAGTGATGCTTTTCAGTGTTAACTGTTTTAATAATGTAGAGTGCACACTATCTATCTTGGGCGCATTTATAAAATCAACTGATAGATCCCAGTTATCCCATGGAGTAATTGGTTGATTAATCATTGAGTTGGGTACATATTTAATATGTAAGACTTGTGCTACGACATTTACCCGAAAGCATGTGTCCTTCCTTGTCACTTCATGGTCATCCCCTTGTGTACTAAGATTCTGCGAAGCTTTTGGGATTAATTTTTGACACTCGTTCGTCTTGGTCGCCACTATCTCTTATCTCCGAGTTGAATGCTCTAAGGTTCTTAACCTACTTAAGGTTTTGTCCCATACTTCTTGGGGGAGCGGATAGGCGCACGCTCCTCTATTTGCATTCCTCTCTCATCCTGTCTAAACTCGATTATGGTTGCCCTGCTTACTCTTCTGCTTCTCCTCCTACTCTTCGCCGTCTTGATCCTTTGCACCATACTGGTTTGCGCCTCAGGTCTGGTGCCTTTCGTTCAACTCCTACCCTCAGCTTGTACGCTGACACTGGCATCCTATCTCTCCAGGACCTCCGTGATCGCTACTGTCTTCGTATCTTACACGGTCCTTACAGCATCCTCACTCTCGCCTCTGTCGTGCATTGACTTTTACTCCTCCTGTAGTTCCTCTTCCCCTTCACCATCTTCCTCTTTCTGTCCGTTTGTCTCGCTTACAAGATTTTCTTTCAATTCATATTACCAATGTTTCTCCTCGTATTATTCCGTCTTTGCCCCCATGGAGGGTCTCATTTCCCAAATTTTGTACTTCTCTGACCCGCATCACTAAAGCTTTTACCCCTCCTACAGTTCTGAAACGTCTCTTCCTTAAGCACTTTTCTTCACACTCCCACTCCGTTTCCATCTTCACCGATGGGTCTAAATCTGCTGACGGTGTGGGCTACTCTGTTGTTTTTCCTGACCACATTTATATGTGTCGCCTTCCTCCAGAGGCTAGCATCTTCACAGCCGAACTTTATGCTATTCTCTATGCTCTTCGTCTCCTGCTTTCCCAGTGTCAATCCTCCTTCGTGGTGGTAGTTGACTCTCGTAGTGCCCTCATGGCTTTAGGGTCCTTTAATCCGGTCCACCCGGTGGTCATCGAGATTCAACATTGGCCGTTTCTTATCTCCAGTAAATTTAAGTTGGTAGAGTTTTGCTGGGTTCCCAGCTATGTTGGTGTCTTTTTAAATGAGAGTGTGGATGCTGCTGCTAAGGAAGCTATCCGCACTTGTCCCATTTCCCATAAAGGCATTCCTTATTCCGACTTTTACCCAGTTATTCATTCCTCCATCCTTGCCTGTTGGCAGGGTTGTTGATCTTCTGTTACTGGTAACAAACTGCGTACCCTTAAGAGTAGTGTCCCTGTGGCCTTCCTCCTACCACCGTAACTGGCGGTGGGAAACGGCTCTGGCTAGGTTATATACTGGCCATACACGTTTAACTCAGTCACATTATGGAGTGCTGCCTTGCTCCTTATTGTCCAAATTGCATTGTTCCTCTTATGGTCATGCACATTCATGTTGAATGTCCTGACTTCCAGGACAAGCGCTGTCTTGCTTTCTGACCGCCTCTCGCGGTCAATTGTCCCTCGATAGAATTTTTGGTGAATCGGGTACTTTTGATATCGTTTGCCTTATGCATTTCTGTTCTCGTATTGGCATCCTTGGTGATATTTAGCGCCCTCTGATTATTCTGCACATTTGATGGTGCTTCATAACCGTCTCGGTTTGGTGCCTTCTTTTGATAATTACTTCCCTGAATCTCTTTATTTTACTCTCCGAGGCTATGGGTCCCTACAATTGTACCAGAGGTGGTACCCCTATATTTATAGTCATATATATTTAAAGCTCTATATACAGTATATAAACAGTTTAAATTTGTTATAAGTGTTAAAAAAATCGTGTAACCGTCAAGTATGTCTCGAGCTCAATACCATGCCTCAGAAGTCCCAAGTATGACCTCAGCTCAGTACCATGCCTCAGAAGCCCCCAAGTATGACCTCAGCTCAATACCATGCCTCAGAAGCCCCCAAGTATGACCTCAGCTCAATACCATGCCTCAGAAGCCCCCAAGTATGACCTCAGCTCAATACCATGCCTCAGAAGCCCCCAAGTATGACCTCAGCTCAATACCATGCCTCCAGAACCTCCCTGTATGACTCCAGGTGAGTGCCGTGCGTGAAGGGCACCATGTATAACTCCAGCTCGGTGTCACATGATGAGTGTCCGTTCCTCACACCGCTATCATGCCTTTATGGCCATAAGCATTGGGATCAATTAGTAAATATCCAGGCGAACAACTTGCTGCCATAGCCTTGTCTTCCGTCAGGTTGGGACGGTAGCAGACCTGGCCGTGGCGCTGGGTCACGGCGACTTCGAGGTGATGTCTGAAAGTCTGTGGGAGGTAACGTCTCGCACTGTCACCGCCCTCGGGGGTGGTCTGGCGTCGCTCGGTACGATGGTTCTGCCCCTCTTCACAGCTTACACACTATTCTAAGTCTCGTCAACTGTTAGCAACTTTTATTTGATATCTTCACATAATTAACTGCAATGATTTAATATTTAATTACTGTATTTTCTAAATCTGTAATATTAAGTAGTTTTATAGAGGGTTTGGATTTGAATAAAAGTTTTCTTTTAGAAAAGTGAAACAAGTTAGTAGCATAAGTGGTTCAAAGGGGGGAATAGTTTACTTTATCAGAGTAATGATCCTTCAGAAGGACCGATGAATCCTGTGTTCTTCCTGCTGGCGGCCTTCGTGGACAAGCTTTGGATGCTGTGGCAGGAGCAACACCCTCACCCTCCACAATATGCTCACCACCTGCTGCTCAGGCCCTTCAAGTGAGGTTTATTATTAAATGAAACTATTTCTAATGAAATTGTATAATGATTGTTTTTTAATGAAACTATTGTTTATGGATACCACAGATGTTTAATACAGTGCTCGGATTAAAAGTTACTTCTTTAAGTGATGTTTATCATTTTGTTTGTATTGTTTAGTGAATGCACCTGACGGTGTCTGTAATTAATTTATCAGGCATTTCTTGGATATTAATGAAAGAAATGCTATGCCTTTTAAGAAGTGTGTGTCATTAACACTGTGTTGTCCACTGATCACTCTTACCCAACCCTCCTGGAAATCAGCGTGAGCCTGGAGGCGGTGTGGCCCCGTGACTGGAGCTGTGGCGCCTACCACACGTTGTGGTGGTCAGGAGACTGTGAGACTCCACCAGAGGCGGTAGCATCCGACCAACTTGTGAACGTGACGGGCGCTCTCTTGGACGCCCTCTACGGCCAGCCCGAGGCACGTAACTAGCCGGTGTAGGCCGCGGAGATCTCTCTCCACCCACCAACATGCAGGCGCGGGGTTCACGTCGTGTGGCTTCATGACGCCGCCTGAAAAATTCCTTTTCCGTCTTTGCCTTTCTATCCTATTTCCCCTTTCTTCTCCTTTTAAATCCTCCTACCCTTCCTTGTCCAGCTTTACCTTTCTTTCCCCTTCCCTTTCCTTTAATTTAGTATGAGATAAAGGAAGAAGGTAATATTTGATCTCTAATGCAACTTATTAAGCTTAGTCTTTTACCACAATCTTCCCTGACGATCCATGCTGCTGTCACCTTAGTCTCGTGGTAAAGGAAGCCCAGCTTTCCTTACACCATGCTGGGTGAGCGCTGAAGCACCTCTGGCGTGACAAGTAGTGAAACACTTCTACAATAACAGTCGGGTGAGAAAGGGTGCCGACTTGACAGTAGGTTTCAGAGAGAATGTTTTCAAAGCATACACACCGGAATATATAATTTAAAATAGTTAACCAATTTGATCTAGTCCCCATTATCTTTTCAAATACAACATGTGCATATCTGGCTGGAAGAAGGGGGACCCATAGCCTCGGAGGAAACCACACACAACGCATTAGAGGGAATGTGTAGGTCCCCTCCAATACAGTTTGTGTGCTTTTCTCCTACCACTCCTTTCCTTTGATTTATACAAGGATTATGCACGACAGATTTAGGCTTAGATAATGGTTGAAGTATGAGGACTCGCTGGCCACATAACTTGAAGCTCCAAACGTCTCAAAAAGCATCTCCTTCCAGGAATTTCTGCAGATCCTGAAAGACAGCCCCGCCGCCAGACCCGCCGCCAGACCTGCGGGTCGAGAGGCGCTCAGCGAAGGTGACGAGGTGGTGGCCCTGGAGGAGGAGACGATGAGGTTTTGGCGAGGGCTGACGTGGCGCGCGCACACACAGGCACATCCCACACCCATCCAGCAGCCGCACACACCTGACTTTGATGGTATGACTCGTGTCTTTATTATTACTGGAGGAGGTGCACGTGTTTCTGCTCCTGGAGGAGGTGCACGTGTTCCCCCTCATGGAGGAGGTGCACGTGTTCCCCCTCATAGAGGAGGTGCACGTGTTCCCCCTCCTGGAGGAGGTGCACGTGTTCCCCCTCCTGGAGGAGGTGCACGTGTTTCTGCTCCTGGAGGAGGTGCACGTGTTCCCCCTCCTGGAGGAGGTGCACGTGTTCCCCCTCCTGGAGGAGGTGCACGTGTTCCCCCTCCTGGAGGAGGTGCACGTGTTCCCCCTCCTGGAGGAGGTGCACGTGTTCCCCCTCCTGGAGGAGGTGCACGTGTTCCCCCTCCTGGAGGAGGTGCACGTGTTCCCCCTCCTGGAGGAGGTGCACGTGTTCCCCCTCCTGGAGGAGGTGCACGTGTTCCCCCTCCTGGAGGAGGTGCACGTGTTCCCCCTCCTGGAGGAGGTGCACGTGTTCCCCCTCCTGGAGGAGGTGCACGTGTTCCCCCTCCTGGAGGAGGTGCACGTGTTCCCCCTCCTGGAGGAGGTGCACGTGTTCCCCCTCCTGGAGGAGGTGCACGTGTTCCCCCTCCTGGAGGAGGTGCACGTGTTCCCCCTCCTGGAGGAGGTGCACGTGTTCCCCCTCCTGGAGGAGGTGCACGTGTTCCCCCTCCTGGAGGAGGTGCACGTGTTCCCCCTCCTGGAGGAGGTGCACGTGTTCCCCCTCCTGGAGGAGGTGCACGTGTTCCCCCTCCTGGAGGAGGTGCACGTGTTCCCCCTCCTGGAGGAGGTGCACGTGTTCCCCCTCCTGGAGGAGGTGCACGTGTTCCCCCTCCTGGAGGAGGTGCACGTGTTCCCCCTCCTGGAGGAGGTGCACGTGTTCCCCCTCCTGGAGGAGGTGCACGTGTTCCCCCTCCTGGAGGAGGTGCACGTGTTCCCCCTCCTGGAGGAGGTGCACGTGTTCCCCCTCCTGGAGGAGGTGCACGTGTTCCCCCTCCTGGAGGAGGTGCACGTGTTCCCCCTCCTGGAGGAGGTGCACGTGTTCCCCCTCCTGGAGGAGGTGCACGTGTTCCCCCTCCTGGAGGAGGTGCACGTGTTCCCCCTCCTGGAGGAGGTGCACGTGTTCCCCCTCCTGGAGGAGGTGCACGTGTTCCCCCTCCTGGAGGAGGTGCACGTGTTCCCCCTCCTGGAGGAGGTGCACGTGTTCCCCCTCCTGGAGGAGGTGCACGTGTTCCCCCTCCTTGCACGTGTTTCCCCTCCTGGAGGAGGTGCACGTGTTCCCCCTCCTGGAGGAGGTGCACGTGTTTCCCCTCCTGGAGGAGGTGCACGTGTTCCCCCTCCTGGAGGAGGTGCTCGTGTTCCCCCTCCTGGAGGAGGTGCACGTGTTTCCCCTCCAGGAGGAGGTGCACGTGTTCCCCCTCCTGGAGGAGGTGCACGTGTTTCCCCTCCTGGAGGAGGTGCACGTGTTCCCCCTCCTGGAGGAGGTGCACGTGTTTCCCCTCCTGGAGGAGGTGCACGTGTTTCCCCTCCTGGAGGAGGTGCACGTGTTCCCCCTCCTGGAGGAGGTGCACGTGTTTCCCCTCCTGGAGGAGGTGCACGTGTTCCCCCTCCTGGAGGAGGTGCACGTGTTTCCCCTCCTGGAGGAGGTGCACGTGTTCCCCCTCCTGGAGGTGACGCACGTGTTCCCCCTCCTGGAGGAGGCGCACGTGTTCCCCCTCCTGGAGGAGGCGCACGTGTTTCCCCTCCTGAAGGTGACGCACGTCTTCCCGCTCCTGAAGGTGACGCACGTCTTCCCGCTCCTGAAGGTGACGCACGTCTTCCCGCTCCTGAAGGTGACGCACGTCTTCCCGCTCCTGAAGGTGACGCACGTCTTCCCGCTCCTGAAGGTGACGCACGTCTTCCCGCTCCTGAAGGTGACGCACGTCTTCCCGCTCCTGAAGGTGACGCACGTCTTCCCGCTCCTGAAGGTGACGCACGTCTTCCCGCTCCTGAAGGTGACGCACGTCTTCCCGCTCCTGAAGGTGACGCACGTCTTCCCGCTCCTGAAGGTGACGCACGTCTTCCCGCTCCTGAAGGTGACGCACGTCTTCCCGCTCCTGAAGGTGACGCACGTCTTCCCGCTCCTGAAGGTGACGCACGTCTTCCCGCTCCTGAAGGTGACGCACGTCTTCCCGCTCCTGAAGGTGACGCACGTGTTCCCGCTCCTGGTGGTGGTGCACGTGTTCCCGCTCCTGAAGGTGACGCTCGTGTTCCCGCTCCTGAAGGTGACGCTCGTGTTCCCGCTCCTGAAGGTGACGCACGTGTTCCCGCTCCTGAAGGTGACGCTCGTGTTCCCGCTCCTGAAGGTGACGCTCGTGTTCCCGCTCCTGAAGGTGACGCTCGTGTTCCCGCTCCTGAAGGTGACGCTCGTGTTCCCGCTCCTGAAGGTGACGCTCGTGTTCCCGCTCCTGAAGGTGACGCTCGTGTTCCCGCTCCTGAAGGTGACGCTCGTGTTCCCGCTCCTGAAGGTGACGCTCGTGTTCCCGCTCCTGAAGGTGACGCTCGTGTTCCCGCTCCTGAAGGTGACGCTCGTGTTCCCGCTCCTGAAGGTGACGCTCGTGTTCCCGCTCCTGAAGGTGACGCTCGTGTTCCCGCTCCTGAAGGTGACGCACGTGTTCCTGCTCCTGGACGTAATACAGGTGTTTTCGCCTCCAACCATATACAGGTGTGTTCCACTTCCTTATTTGATATATTTTATCTCGGCCCATGTCTCTAAAAGCATTGAGTTGGGGTGTGTTATGAGTGCGTGTCTCTTGCCTCACGCATGGTGTCTGGTGCCTCGCGCGCGAGCGCCTGGTGCCTCGCGCATGCGAAAAGGTCAAATGCTCTATAATCCAGCTGTGAAACACCAGTGTTTATGAATGAAACACTTGACACACTACTCAACTGGTGAAGTTCGAACATTTCGCGAACAGTGCTTCATTGACCATCTCTGTTCGCAGCCCGTCTTCCAAAGATCGAAAAGTGATTCCATGCACCCGCCATACCCCCTGTTTATGAATGAAAAGCGGTTTACACACGACTCACAACTGCTGACGTTCGAACATATCCGGAACAAGTGCTTCACTGACGAATTTTGTTGAATCACAACGCTGTAAATGCTTCACCCACGTACTACAAATACAAATAACCGCCAACAGAACCTAAACACCTGACCTAACCTATCCTATACCTATTTATACACAATATGCTAATATATTATAATATTAATTTATACTTGAGAAAATTCCCGTTTTGAATGAACAGCATGTTAAAATTTATGAATGCGTCTGTGGGGTCGACCGCTGGATGTAATGGACTAGTCGAGGACGGGTTGTTACTCACACACTTCAAATACAAATAATCGTCAATAGAACCTAAAAAGTTAACCTAACCTCTGCCTAGCTATACAATGAACTTTAATGAATAATAATGTGTATTTATATATGAGAACACGCCTATTTTTAATACTGTTAAAATTAAGGACTATGTCTTTGGGTTCGGCCACTGGATAGAATGAACATAGCCTCAGAACGGGTTGTGCAGTTGTATGTGTAATTTTTCATTCATAAAAGGGATTTAATGGATAGTTGTACGAGCATTTCTTCATTGTTCATGTGGACGGGCTGCGTTAATGGAACGGCTTGTGGGGCGGCTTAGCAACTTGAAGGAACATCTTTTCATACATTGTCAAAACATTTGGTTAATTTAGGAATGAATGAATGTCTATTATCTACATGCTCTAAAAAAGATGAAATGAATGAATTAGGCTATTTTGACGTTCAATGAATGAATGAACGAACATAGTGTTATTTAAACACTAGTACAGTCACAAAGTGTCATCAAGTGGGGAGCCGGTCGACCGAGCGGACAGCACAGGAGACTTGTTATCCTGTAGTCCTGGGTTCGATCCCAGGCGCCGGCGAGAAACAATGGGCAGAGTTTCTTTCACTCTATGCCCCTGTTACCTAGCAGTAAATTAGGTACCTGGGTGTTAGTCAGCTGTCACGGGCTGCTTCCTAGGGGGTGGAGGCCTGGTCGAGGATCGAGCCGCGGGGACACTACAAAATCCTCGAAATCATTTCAAGATAACCTCAAGATAAGTGTCAAAGTGGCTCAGGGAGTGTATTGAGAGAGGTGTACCCCGCTTCTGGGTGTACATACAGGGTACTTTAGCTCTAGATTAAGTTTAAGACTAAAGTATACTTGCTGGTTGGTCAGTAAACACTTGTGTGGCCTCCAGAGCTTGATAGGCCTTAGGCCCAATACCAAGCCAAACCAGGATTAACTTAATTTGTTGTACAGGGCGTGGAGAGCTTGGGGCTGCAGCTAGAGCTTGTGGCCTGGTGGTGCAAGTGTGAGGGCCTGAGGGCGCCCTGTGACCCCGTGGTTGTAAACACCCTCACCCTACACACCCTCACCCTACACACCCTCACCCTACACACCCTCACCCTACACACACGCCCCCCTACCACTGGTGGCAACACTGGCGACCACAGCAACACCACCACCGTCGCGAGTCCCGTCGTCCACACCTGCGACCGGTGCACCCTCTCCTGGCCCTCTACTCTTGACCAAGGTAAAGTTCATGTAGAACAAATAGTATGTTCCGTGGTTATTATAGTGAATATTTTATTACTTGGCGCGACTTTGTGTAGGCAACAAAATGCATATTTTGATCTGGTTCCCACTGGGACGGTTTCCTGTTGTGTCGCTGGTAGCCTTGTAAAGTGTGGGGCCCTCTGTAGTAGTGGCGAGTGTGGGGCCCTCTGTAGTAGTGGCGAGTGTGGGGCCCTCTGTAGTAGTGGCGAGTGTGGGGCCCTCTGTAGTAGTGGCGAGTGTGGGGCCCTCTGTAGTAGTGGCGAGTGTGGGGCCCTCTGTAGTAGTGGCGAGTGTGGGGCCCTCTGTAGTAGTGGCGAGTGTGGGGCCCTCTGTAGTAGTGGCGAGTGTGGGGCCCTCTGTAGTAGTGGCGAGTGTGGGGCCCTCTGTAGTAGTGGCGAGTGTGGGGCCCTCTGTAGTAGTGGCGAGTGTGGGGCCCTCTGTAGTAGTGACGAGTGTGGGGCCCTAGTAGTAGGCGAGTGTGGGGCCCTCTGTAGTAGTGGCGAGTGTGGGGCCCTCTGTAGTAGTGGCGAGTGTGGGGCCCTCTGTAGTAGTGGCGAGTGTGGGGCCCTCTGTAGTAGTGGCGAGTGTGGGGCCCTCTGTAGTAGTGACGAGTGTGGGGCCCTCTGTAGTAGTGGCGAGTGTGGGGCCCTCAGTAGTAGTGGCGAGTGTGGGGCCCTCTGTAGTAGTGGCGAGTGTGGGGCCCTCTGTAGTAGTGGCGAGTGTGGGGCCCTCAGTAGTAGTGGCGAGTGTGGGGCCCTCTGTAGTAGTGGCGAGTGTGGGGCCCTCTGTAGTAGTGGCGAGTGTGGGGCCCTCTGTAGTAGTGGCGAGTGTGGGGCCCTCAGTAGTAGTGACGAGTGTGGGGCCCTCTGTAGTAGTGACGAGTGTGGGGCCCTCTGTAGTAGTGACGAGTGTGGGGCCCTCAGTAGTAGTGGCGACTGTGGGGCCCTCAGTAGTAGTGGCGAGTGTGGGGCCCTCAGTAGTAGTGGCGAGTGTGGGGCCCTCAGTAGTAGTGACGAGTGTGGGGCCCTCAGTAGTAGTGGCGAGTGTGGGGCCCTCAGTAGTAGTGGCGACTGTGGGGCCCTCTGTAGTAGTGGCGACTGTGGGGCCCTCAGTAGTAGTGGCGACTGTGGGGCCCTCAGTAGTAGTGGCGAGTGTGGGGCCCTCAGTAGTAGTGGCGAGTGTGGGGCCCTCAGTAGTAGTGGCGAGTGTGGGGCCCTCTGTAGTAGTGGCGAGTGTGGGGCCCTCTGTAGTAGTGGCGACTGTGGGGCCCTCAGTAGTAGTGGCGAGTGTGGGGCCCTCTGTAGTAGTGGCGACTGTGGGGCCCTCAGTAGTAGTGGCGACTGTGGGGCCCTCAGTAGTAGTGGCGAGTGTGGGGCCCTCAGTAGTAGTGACGAGTGTGGGGCCCTCAGTAGTAGTGGCGACTGTGGGGCCCTCAGTAGTAGTGGCGACTGTGGGGCCCTCTGTAGTAGTGACGAGTGTGGGGCCCTCTGTAGTAGTGACGAGTGTGGGGCCCTCAGTAGTAGTGGCGAGTGTGGGGCCCTCTGTAGTAGTGGCGAGTGTGGGGCCCTCTGTAGTAGTGGCGAGTGTGGGGCCCTCAGTAGTAGTGACGAGTGTGGGGCCCTCAGTAGTAGTGACGAGTGTGGGCCCTCAGTAGTAGTGGCGAGTGTGGGGCCCTCTGTAGTAGTGGCGAGTGTGGGGCCCTCTGTAGTAGTGGCGAGTGTGGGGCCCTCTGTAGTAGTGACGAGTGTGGGGCCCTCTGTAGTAGTGGCGAGTGTGGGGCCCTCAGTAGTAGTGACGAGTGTGGGGCCCTCAGTAGTTGTGGCGAGTGTGTGGCCCTCAGTGTAGTGACGAGTGTGGGGCCCTCTGTAGTAGTGACGAGTGTGGGGCCCTCTGTAGTAGTGGCGAGTGTGGGGCCCTCTGTAGTAGTGACGAGTGTGGGGCCCTCTGTAGTAGTGGCGAGTGTGGGGCCCTCAGTAGTAGTGACGACTGTGACTTCACTGCAGATCCGTGTGAGGGCTCACCGTGCCGGAACGGTGGTGTGTGCGTCGCGTCCCAGGCTCGACGCCCAGCCTCGTACCGGTGTGTGTGTCCCCCCACCCACAGTGGGCGGCACTGCACCACGCCCACCCCACCCAACTGTTTCCTTCCTCCAGTCTTGGGTAAGCAAGCTATGGTTTTGTTCTGTTTAATCTGGTCATCAGTGCATTAATGCAGTTTATTGCCAAATTCGGGTAATTTCGTGCATTAAATTGTTTGCTTCACTTTTCTTAATGAACACTTTTCAATATATAATGTTTACACAAACATTATATAGCGTTTGCACCATCCTCGCTGCACCATCTTTGCTACGCTAATACAAAACAGCGCTTGCACCCTCTTCGGTACAGCAATACTTGCACCATCCTTTGTTACCTGCATAACAGCTGTGTTGCTTGCAATAAGATAACCATCTTCACCATACATGATCATTACACTCTTCACCTTATCATATGCAATCTTAAGTCAATGAATGCCTTGTACTAATTACATTCTTTTCTATATACTTGACTGATTTATTAATCTGAACAAGGTTTACTTTAGTGGTTTAATGTTGACACGTTATGGAAAACTGGTTTAGTCTCTCCCGCCATCATGGTTTTCAAATTTCAGGACGATGTCCCCCTGAGGTGAACCCAAGAGCGTCCCAGCGGTGGTTTTACAGCCCTGAGGAGGAGACCTGCTTCTCCTTCAGGTACTCTGGGTGCGGCGGCAACTCTAACAATCACGCCTCCTACAGTGCCTGCCTCGACGCCTGCACCAGAGGCACCTGTTGCTACCTATCTTCTGCCCACTTCGTCGACAGGCGAGTACTGCAGGTGTCACAGATGTTCACAAGGTAGACGCACTCGTAGGTGTGTATATAGTGCAGAGATACTGCCACTGGTCTTGATGAGCTCGTATGCTGGGTAAGGTGTGCAAAGACATCTTAAATTCACTTCAAGAAATTCACTTCTAACATTTCATTTTCAGTATATTGCCGATATTGTGAACGGTAGTCTATGTTTAGGTTTTTTTATTTATTCTGTGAAAGGAGAAAGTTAGTGACAGCCGAGTTAGGTGATCACAATTATCTTACAGTGAAGGCAAGAGTTAAGCTTACCTGTGTAAACATTTGATGATGGTGACTGCCCCAAGGTTTAGAGAGGCCACAAACTATTGTACAGTGAGTGCAGTGCCTCTATATCCGGTTACCATAGGTTGGCAGGTACACAGCTCGGTGCACACACACTGTGGCAGGTACACAGCTTGGTGCGCACACACTGTGGCAGGTACACAGCTCGGTGCACACACACTGTGGCAGGTACACAGCTCGGTGCACACACTGTGGCAGGTACACAGCTCGGTGCACTGTGGGTACACAGCTCGGTGCACACACACTGTGGCAGGTACACAGCTCGGTGCACACACTGTGGCAGGTACACAGCTCGGTGCACACACACTGTGGCAGGTACACAGCTCGGTGCACACTGTGGCAGGTACACAGCTCGGTGCACACATACTCTAGCAATAATATCAACAACAGTGAACGCTTTGACGTGCAACTAATGAGTTACAAACTGGAAGTACCTCAGCGCCCCCACATATGGGTCTCGTTAACCACCACACCATCGGTGGCTACACGTCTAATAATCGAAGCTTGTGTGTTATAATCTTCACCGAATTACTGTGGCTTATTATGCCTTTCAAAAGCTTTGTCTTGTACATTCATTGAAGACTGCGTGATAACAAGAGCTTGTTGGTCGCACAGATCCCAGGGTGTGGAGACGGGGGCCCGTGTGGGGAGCAGGTCTGACAACGTCAGCATCCCCACTGCCTCTCCCCAAGATGCTCCCCACGTCAGCATCTCCACTGCCTCTCCCCTAGATGCTCCCCACGTCAGCATCTCCACTGCCTCTCCCCTAGATGCTCCCCACGTCAGCATCCCCACTGCCTCTCCCCAAGATGCTCCCCACGTCAGCATCTCCACTGCCTCTCCCCTAGATGCTCCCCACGTCACCATCCCCACTGCCTCTCCCCTAGATGCTCCCCACGTCACCATCCCCACTGCCTCTCCCCAAGATGCTGACAAGATGCCACAAGACCGCCGTTCCAAAGGTATGATTTCTTACGTTTTTCTGTAACAACCATCAATTTTCACCATAGATCATATATGTAGCCGTCTTGGAGTCTCGGGGGCTGCTGGAGAGTGTAATGGGGAAACTACTACTACTCCAATTCGAAGGTGTTTCCTAAGGTATTGTACTGAGCACAATTCGTTTCCTCATTGCCCCTAATGTACTTCCTCCCTTCCCTCTGGTCTTTTCTTGACCCTTTATGTTGACAATCTCTCTGCTGACGTGAAATTTCTCAAATGCTCTCAGATTTCCTCCAACGCCGGCTCCAATTTGCTATTCAGTGACGGTGAAGGAAAAAAACAATGTTTAAATGTATTAAAAACATCTGAAATTAGTTTAATACATTAATATATTGGATCTTTCCTTCACATTCATTTAAATACTTAGGCATTGAAACAAGTTTCTCCATTAATTCAATGTCGTCCTGGGTTATGATTCATGGCTTAAAGTTCCCTGCATCTAAGACTTGTGCTATGAATTTTTACTCTGAAGAAGGACGTCCTTTGTCTCCCTTTGTCGCTCTATGATAGTCCCTTTCTGTATAAGAGATTTTGGTAAGATTTTGGGGTTAATCTTTGACCCTCGTGTGGCTTGCTTAACCCCGTATCTCCTACCTCCGAAGTAGAATGCTCAAAGGCTCATACGTTACTTAGTCTTGTTTTGTAATTCCTGGAGAGCTGACATACGCACACTCTTATATTGGCACTCTCGTGCCTGCTGAACTGGATTAAGGCTGCTCTACCTATTCTTCTGCCGCTCCTTCGTCGTCTTGATGTTCCTCACCATGCTGGGTTGCGGCTCAGCTCTGATGCGACTCATTCGTCCTCCAAGAATTTGAATGCTGAAACCGGTGACTTGTCGCGTACAAGGTTGTCGGGATCGTTACTGCTTTCGCTACCTCGTAAGGTCTTTGCAACATCCTCATTCTCGTTTTTGCTGAGCTTTGGCTGTTGCCCCATCTGGCAGGCCCTGTTCTCCCTTCTGTTAGGCTCTGTTCCCTTTCACCCCCTTCATTTTTATCTTAGGATGTCTCACCTACAAGCCTATCTTTAGGTCTGTGTTAAGTCTCCCTCCATGTGTCGTTCCATCCTAGCCCCCAAAGAGGGTCCCACATGCGAAGTTTTGCTAGAATTTCACCCACATGCTCGAGACTTCTACCCCCTCCTATTGTTATGAACGCCTTTTCCTGAAACATTTTTCAACCCACTCACATTCTGTTGCCCTCTTCACAAATGGGTCTGAGTCTGCCGACGGTGTTGGATACTCTGTCTTTTTGGACCAAACCTGCGTGCCCCGCCTACCTCTGGAGGCTAGCATCTTCCCGACTGAACTGTGTACGATGTTATATGCTCATCATCAAAGCTCCTTTGTCATTGTGGTTGTGCTCTCATGGTCCTGGAGTCCTTTAAACCAGTGCATCCTGTGGTAGTTGAAATGAAGCTACTATTAACAGCATCCAATGGATTCTTTGACAATTTTATATATGTATCAGTCACATAATTACGCGTTCATATTTTCTAGTCATTTTTCTCAAAATTACAATAGCACTGATTTATCTGCCTTGCTTACACGTAATTTTATATTTTTATTTAACCTATCAGACTTTGTAGAGAGTTTGGCAATGTAGATTTAGACAATTTTACCAAACACAATACCTTTGAATATATTGATACTGTCAATTACAAAATAAATAATATAATACACACATGGATGGATTTAAACGGAACACGCATATTATTGCTTAACATGTCTGCTGCTGTGCTACCAGACTATTATGTTCTTCAATTGTGAACACATTCTTGGGAATTTTTTGGTGACGATTGCTGATCCTTTACACACACGACCAAACCAACACTCAGCATGAACGAACAACGTTCTTCCCTGTAACACACAAGAACACATTCCTCAAAGGGCCACAGAAGGACCACAGAACACTACAAACAGCCATCAAACGATGCACAACATCAGAACCAGAGGTGTTCTCCATAACTAAATATCGCCAATAATTATGTCTTCAGATGTGCTCAGCTCTGTGATGGAACGTCAAAACTGTACTTGTTCCACCAGGTGAGTGTTGCACCTGTACTTGTTCCACCAGGTGAGTGTTGCACCTGTACTTGTTCCACCAGGTGAGTGTTGCACCTGTACTTGTTCCACCAGGTGAGTGTTGCACCTGTACTTGTTCCACCAGGTGAGTGTTGCACCTGTACTTGTTCCACCAGGTGAGTGTTGCACCTGTACTTGTTCCACCAGGTGAGTGTTGCACCTGTACTTGTTCCACCAGGTGAGTGTTGCACCTGTACTTGTTCCACCAGGTGAGTGTTGCACCTGTACTTGTTCCACCAGGTGAGTGTTGCACCTGTACTTGTTCCACCAGGTGAGTGTTGCACCTGTACTTGTTCCACCAGGTGAGTGTTGCACCTGTACTTGTTCCACCAGGTGAGTGTTGCACCTGTACTTGTTCCAGTGGGCGGGTGCTTTACCTGACCCAGTGGACGGGAACTTCATCTTGCAAGGTGTGTGTGTGTGTGTGTGTGTGTGTGTGTGTGTGTGTGTGTGTGTGTGTGTGTGTGTGTGTGTGTGTGTGTGTGTGTGTGTGTTCGTGTGTTTGTGTGTGTTCGTGTGTTCGTTCCCGTTCGTGGCAAGAGAGCGTGGCCAGGGTTGCCCTACACGTGATGTTCACGATCCTGCAGTAACTTTACTGGCTTTCCTCTCCAGCAGAAGGGAAGGCGACTGCCACTGTCACTGCAGACACGCGTGGCGAGGTAACTGTGGCGGCGGAGGCGAGGACGACTTCGTGGCCATCTCCTTCATCCCGGTGGCGGCAGCTCCCGCCCAAGACCCTGGAGCCCCCTACGGCTGCCGCCTCCCAGGTACCTGGGTGCCACCGTCACTATGGAAAGCCTGGCTCTCTTTAAGGCAGAAAGAAGGCCTTGATTTATTTAATAGTTGATATGTAGAGTCAAATAATTGCATAACTTTATTTTTAAATTCGTCTTTCATTTTCAACGTTTTCTTCTTTTATTATTATTATTATTATTATTATTATTATTATTATTATTATTACTTAAGCACTTGGGCTCGAAGCCTATCGTCCTACTTTAAAACCATGTTTGTCATTAATAGATGCAGTACTTAAATAGTTTTCAAGACACCATGTTGTGTCATCCTCAGGAAAAACTTATAACGTGAGTGAGGTAATGAAGAATGGATGCCAAGAGTGTCAGTGCCTGGAGCGAGGCATCTTTCGTTGTCAACGCCAGGGAGGTGCCAGGTACGTCAGAAAGGAATTCAGAGACCTCACACTTAAGGAAATTAACCGTTATCAGGCTTCCATTAGGAGACTAGTGAGAGCGGGTGACGGGGAGTTCAGCTGGCACAACCTTACCCTGATGTACAGTCAGCATTTACCTAACTTCGCGGGAACTGATCGGTTCCTCCCCTGGCACCGTTACCTTCTGTGGAACGTTGAGATGCTTCTTCAAGAGAATGGCGAGTGTGATGTGTCTATACCTTACTTTGATTGGACTCTCGACGTTGGTGATATGAGCAGAGCAGCGGCGTGGCAGGCGAACTACTTTGGAGGTGACGGTGGCCAAGACGACTTCTGCGTCCGCCACCACCCCTTCAGGTCATCCCGCTTTCACGATTGGGCCCCGTGTCTCATGCGACACTTCAACGACTCTGTATGGCTCCCTGACGCCGTTGGTATCGCGCATCTCGTGAGCACAGACAACTACACACACTTCAGGATGCACTTGGAGGCAATGTCAGGACTGTTTCAGACCTTCGTAGGGGGTCACACACTTACTCCTGAGAGACTCTATGACCCTGTTTTCCTCTCTCACATATCATTTCTGGATAAAATATTTGACAGCTGGCTTAGAAAACATGGCCGAAGGGACGAAGTATTTCCGCAAGAGATGAAACCTGCTCCCATGATGCCCTTCGGTGTCACCTCACGTGACGCCCTCGATGCTGTGCTTCAGTACGGTGTCTCCTACGTCTTGCCATCAAAAGGTGCTCCATGTTTGAAAGAAGATGCAGAGAAGCCTGTTGAGACGAGAGAGTTCGAGAGCGATAACAATTTAAGTGAAAGCTGGACAAGGAATGAGGATGCAGAAGTTGTCGACGATGATGGTTACGATGTGGGCGGCTACACAGCTGAAGGCTACGACTCGCTGGGCTATGACAGGTGGGGCTACGGTAAGGACACCTTCAACAGGGATGGCTACGACCTCGCTGGGTTAGACAGAGAAGGCTTCGATCGCTATGGTTTTAAAACAGACGGATGCACATCCCTTGGCCCACCTTACTGCCGCTCGACGATAAACAGTACGGCGACACCACGTCAGTTTGACACTTACGGTTACACAAAAGAAGGATTTAATATTCTCGGCCTCGACCGTAGTGGCTTTGACGTTTTCGGGTTTGACATCCAGGGTTATGACAGACTCAAGTGCAACTACTACAACCAAGGACCATTCTACATGCTGACGAAGGCTCGACTGGAGGAGGAACTTGATGAAATAAATGACGTGTCGAAATTGATGAATATTGAGAGGACGTGTAATGAGGTGACGAGGGTGCCAGACTGGTGGCTTCACCACAACCACTTCTCTCAGGTACTTCACAATTACTACAATATATTTATTGGTTTAATATATTTATTAGGAGACATCGATTTTTGTGAATTTAATTTCGTGTAATGAAAGCAACTTCCCGCAGAAAGACATCAGTGAACTGAGACAGCTGGAGGCTGCCGCCCGCGCCCTGCGCCCCACACTCACCCTTCCTCACGCCCACGGCACCCACAGTGTCGCCAGCTCCGGGGGACCCTACCTTCCCTCACCCCCGGTGGAGAGGTAATGGTTCTCAACTAAGCAGCACCACAGACCGCAGGATTAAGTCTAGTACATAGTTCCACGTTATTTATAATTGAAATGCAGTAGTTTGTGTGATTTTTATGTTCGCTTATGTGGAGAGTTTTCGTTAGGTGTATTTTATACTTGTCAGCTTGCATCAGTTGAGAGTTAACAAAGAGTTGTACACATGCAGGTTGTGCCTCAACTTGAGAGTGTACAGCGGATGTCCCCTCGCGGCTCATGTTGTACACTGTGATGAGGAGGAAGTCTGTCGTCGGTACTCGTCCTCCAGCGCATCTTCCTCTGATGGCCTCGTCCAGAACACTACTACTCCCTTACTGCCATCCTTCTCCTGGCAGCCGTCGACGTCGTGGTCAGGGGGGCGCGGGGGGCGGGTGGAGTGTGGGGGGCGCAGCAACGTGGTGTGTCGGGCTCGAGGCTGTGAGGGGGTGTGCACCCCTACCTTCCTCGACGGGCTAACGGGGCACCAGCTTACATGTCAAGGTAACTCTTGCACGTTAAATTGGTTGTTAAGTATTGAGTTTGAGGTTTATCAACGACACAGTGTTCATCAAGGACTTGCTCGCCTACTACCCAATCCTGCTAAACCTCAACATAGTTTAGCAATAAAGTAAACTCTGGCTGTAAATATCGACAAATAAGTCGATATAAGTCTGTGTGTATTTTGACTCTTCAAAAGTGTAAAGTGAATGTCAATTAACAAAACTGTTGGTTTTTCACTACTAAATTGTTATCGTCAGTTCTCTTGTATTCCACAACTGGTCTCATCTTCAGGAAAAAAATTGTATTTCATCGTAGTTATAAATTGTTACATTAATTCAGATTTGATTTGGTTGCTTATGTTTACTTCAATAATTAGTAGTTACGATATTCAATTGTGACTTGCAGTGATCATTCCTAAATGAGATATGGACATTTTTTGCATCATTTAATTGTCGCTTTGCTTCTAGTAAATTATTTCTGTTCTTAATGTATTTTTGACGTAATTAGTACTTAAATGAGAACATTATGAAAGTGAATTTTACACTTAAAAAATGAAAAGTTGTAATTCAGCAGTACAGCATAGATATATTTCTTAGTTCCCCTCTTCAGTCGTTTTCTATATTGAAGCTTTGGAAGCGATTTGTACCTTAAAACTGGACGGATAACTAAAAGTTTAATACGAATTTGGAAAAGGGATTAATTGTGGAAAACAGTGAAAAATGCGTTTTTTTTTTTTTAAAGAAATTACAATCTGACAGTTTCTCCTGGGACAGATGAACTTGCTTTGTTATGCATTTTGCAGAACTTTCACATCCAAAAGTTTAATTTGCAGGGCTTTGTAAATGTAGTTTTCTGCTCCTCTGGTGGTGATGTTGTTTTACAGAGTGCGTGGACGATGCTGGGGTGCCCCACGGCGAGGGGTCGTCGTGGGCGGTGGGGGCGTGTGAAGTATGCAGGTGTAAGGGCGGTCAGGTGCTGTGTAGCGGCATCACCTGCTCCCTCCCCTCCTGCACCCACCCGGTCACGCCTCAACACGCCTGCTGTCCCACCTGCAACCACGGTAAACATTCCTGTTGCTCTGCCCCCGAGTGCTTCCCTTGCACGGGACGTCTCACAGCGGCGTGCGCTAGGTCAACACCGTTGGTCTTGGCCCCCCCCCCCCACCACTAACATTTTTCTGTTCAGTTGTCTCGCTTGCAGGATTATCGGTTCGTATTACCAATATTTTTCGTCGTATTGTTCCATCTTTGCCCCCGTGGAGGATCCCCCTACCAAAATATTGTACATCCCTGACCCACATTACTAAAGCTTTTACCCTACCTTTGGTTCTGAAATGCCTTTTCCTTGAACACTTTTTCTTGAACACTTTTCCTTGAACACTTTTTCTTCACACTACCACTCCATTTCCATCTTCACGATGGGTCTAAGTCTGCAGCCGGTGTAAGTTACAATGTTGTTTTTCCTGATCACTCTTACGTGTGTCGCCTACCTCCGGAGACTAGCGTCTTCACGGCCGAACTTTATGCTATTCTTTATGCTCTTCGTTCTTCCTGCTTTTTCATTGTCAATTCTCCTTTCTGGTTGTAGTTGACTCTTGCAGTGCTCTCATGGCACTAGAGTCCTTTAATCCAGTCCATCCGGTGGTCGTTTAGAGTCCACATTGACTGTTTCTTAGCTCCAGTAAATTTAAGTTAGCAGAGTTTTGCTGGGTTTCCAGCCATATTGCTGTCTCTTTCAATGAGCGTTCGGATGCTGCTGTTAAGGAAGCTATCCACTCTTGTCCCATCTCCCATAAAAGTATTCCTTATTCCGACTTTTACCCAGTTATTCATTCCTCCATCCTTGCCTGTTGGCAGGTTGATGGTCTTCTGTTGTTGGTAACAAACTGCGTACTCTTAAGAGTAGTTTGCCCCTTGGCCTTCTTCCTACCATTGTAACTGGCAGGGGGAATTAGCTCTGGCTAGGTTGTATATTGGTTATACATGCTAAACTCATGGTCACTTAATGGTGTGGGATATTTGGGGCTTGAATCTGATTATTTAAATATTAATGTAGTAAATTAAATTACGAAGGACCACCCGCTTTTAAAGTAAAGAGGGAAACTGAGAATTTCTGATCATTAGATAATTCCTAGATGAAACCAGTAACTATGGATAAAACTAGAAAGTATGATCATAATAATAATTAATGGGCTGTATTAATAAATGAAACAAAACCTCAAACACCTACATTGGGGGGTTATTACTGGAGGTAAGTACGTCCAGGAATTAGTGTGGTTCGTTCACTAATTCAATTAATAATAATCTAATCCTATAAAATAATATTATAACTGATTTCATTACCAAAAAGAGGAACATAGATTATGTGCATAGTAATGAGTTACAGTAAACCACATATTATCCCAAAGAATTCTGCACAAGATAAATTGCAATAGAATTATAAAAGGAAATAAATCTTAGCTTAATGAAGATTCCTTTAGAAAGCCATGGAAGTCCTCTTATTCTCCAGACTCGGTCGACTGACGAGTGGAACGGGTTAACATGTGGGAAGGCAGCATGGAGAATTCTTCTCTCGTGCTGCAAGACAAATAATTTTCAGTAGCAACCGATTGGACTATTAAATCTATATTCAAGAATATTAAGATTTACAGGTGACAAATTTTAATCACCTGTTATTAGGTGTTATCGTGCGTCGTAACGGACAATCACCCTGCTATTATTAAAACATCTACCTGATGCATCACATAAAAGAATCTACTTAGCTGTGGGCACTGTATAAGTATTAAGATTGCCGTGCTTCGCATCTCAGGCTCCGGCTAGGCCTATCCTGAATAGTGATGCGTTCCGCTGGCTGGTCACGTGTCGTCAGGAACCAAGTCAAAGGGCTCCTTATTTGACACCAGCACTAGCTGAAGATACTATCTGCAAGGTTATTCACGCCTCACAGTGGCGACTTTCATCTGAGGATGGATAACACCTGCCCTATTTGCTGGGCAATGGCGTCTTCTTATGAGTACGGTAAGCGCAGGTCTGCCTCTCTTCGGCTCTCCACATGTACTGAGATAGCGTCCCTCTACCCACGCCGAGTCCGCGTTCATAAAACAAATTATTGTCTCGAACATTAATATTTCTCGCATTTGCGCTTGAAACGTTAAAGACTGGACGGGTTTATTATTTAAAGGAAGAAAATATTGTTATTTACCAATTTAAGAATAGTAAATATATAAGGGAGAGGAATTAATGTCTCCCCATGGCATTCATTGGTGACGTTAACTTTATCACGAGATAGACGCTATGATTCTAACGCTCTATTCGGCTTTTAGTTAGAGATCAATTCGTCTGCAATTAGTTATCATACAGAATGCTTTAATTATGGAGAATCGAATTTAATTCTCACATATATTGGATATAATGTGTTTACTGTAAGGAAATCTGACGCAATACTGGCGTCAGGTGACGTGAGAATTCTAGCCTACTGCACAGATGAAATTATTAGTACATGAGAATTCTACGTGTTGTTAATTTTACTTACTACAATAATTAGTATGGTTAGTAATAAGTAATGAGAATACAACAGTGTTGTATTCGGTGTTGGAAATATCCAACAAATGGAGCGCCGCCCTGCTCCTTATTGTCCAAATTCCATTGTCCCTCTTACGGTCGTGCATATCCTTGTTGAATGTCCTGACGTCCAGGACGAGCGTGTGTCTTGCTTCCCGACCGTCCCCCGCGGTCACTTGTCCCTCGATAGAATTCTTGGTGACTCGGATACTTTTGATATCGTTCGCCTCAAGCGTTTCTGTTCTCGTATTGGCATCCTTGGTGATATTTAGCGCCCTCTGATTATTCCGCACATTTGATGGTGCTACATAGCCTTCCCAGTTTGGTGCCTTCTTTTGATAATTATATACTTATTTGTCCTTAAAGCCTTATGTTCATAAATATTTCGCGTGAATCACCCCGATCTATGACACATGTCTTAAATATACGATAAAGTAGCCCATGGATTATGATGGTCGTCGTTCACCCTCAACCCACCGTGCATCTCCTCGCCTCAGGGTGCTTGTACGAGGAGCGAGTGGTGCCTGAAGGAGAGGTGGTGGTGCTAACGGAGGACCCATGCCAGAGATGCTACTGTGATCTTGGCTCCATCGCCTGCGTCCCTATAATTTGTCCCATCCTCACCTGCTCCGACGCCCTCCATCGCCCAGGTGAGTTCCAGTGGCATGTCATCTCTCGTATGGATGTTACATTCCAGAGACAAAAAACCATCGTAGCTGAACATGCGTAGCTAATTTTGGGAGTGTAACAGCATTCTGAAATACGAAGTGCCGTTGCTTTCTGACGGAGATGTCTTTGGGTGTGTCGTGGTCACTGACAGATGTCTTTGGGTGTGTCGTTGGTCACTGACAGATGTCTTTGGGTGTGTCGTGGTCACTGACAGATGTCTTTGGGTGTGTCGTGGTCACTGACAGATGTCTTTGGGTGTGTCGTTGGTCACTGACAGATGTCTTTGGGTGTGTCGTGGTCACTGACAGATGTCTTTGGGTGTGTCGTTGGTCACTGACAGATGTCTTTGGGTGTGTCGTGGTCACTGACAGATGTCTTTGGGTGTGTCGTGGTCACTGACAGATGTCTTTGGGTGTGTCGTGGTCACTGACAGATGTCTTTGGGTGTGTCGTGGTCACTGACAGATGGTCACTGACAGATGTCTTTGGGTGTGTCGTGGTCACTGACAGATGTCTTTGGGTGTGTCGTGGTCACTGACAGATGTCTTTGGGTGTGTCGTGGTCACTGACAGATGTCTTTGGGTGTGTCGTGGTCACTGACAGATGTCTTTGGGTGTGTCGTGGTCACTGACAGATGTCTTTGGGTGTGTCGTGGTCACTGACAGATGTCTTTGGATGTGTCGTTGGTCACTGACAGATGTCTTTGGGTGTGTCGTGGTCACTGACAGATGTCTTTGGGTGTGTCGTGGTCACTGACAGATGTCTTTGGGTGTGTCGTGGTCACTGACAGATGTCTTTGGGTGTGTCGTGGTCACTGACAGATGTCTTTGGGTGGTCACTGACAGATGTCTTTGGGTGTGTCGTCGTGGTCACTGACAGATGTCTTTGGGTGTGTCGTGGTCACTGACAGATGTCTTTGGGTGTGTCGTGGTCACTGACAGATGTCTTTGGGTGTGTCGTGGTCACTGACAGATGTCTTTGGGTGTGTCGTGGTCACTGACAGATGTCTTTGGGTGTGTCGTGGTCACTGACAGATGTCTTTGGGTGTGTCGTGGTCACTGACAGATGTCTTTGGGTGTGTCGTGGTCACTGACAGATGTCTTTGGGTGTGTCGTGGTCACTGACAGATGTCTTTGGGTGTGTCGTGGTCACTGACAGATGTCTTTGGGTGTGTCGTGGTCACTGACAGATGTCTTTGGGTGTGTCGTGGTCACTGACAGATGTCTTTGGGTGTGTCGTGGTCACTGACAGATGTCTTTGGGTGTGTCGTGGTCACTGACAGATGTCTTTGGGTGTGTCGTGGTCACTGACAGATGTCTTTGGGTGTGTCGTGGTCACTGACAGATGTCTTTGCGTGTGTCGTGGTCACTGATGACACACGGGTGAAGCTCTGTTGCTAGATGTGTGGAAATCTGGCTCTAGATTAATGATAATAAAATATATAATTCTAATATGCTCGAAGGAACTCTCTTAAAAAGAGAGAGAAATTTAGAGAACCAGTGACCTTTGGATCTCTTAGATTAAATGCAATTAAATTCTAATGAATATAATAAATCTATTAATGTATAATAAATGAACTGCAATGTACTGTAAACTGTAGAGCCAATTTCCTCCACACATTTTGGGTGGTTATTCTATAAGGTTAGGTCTATTCTACGTCTATTCTACGTTAGGTCTATTCTATTTTGATATTCTACGTTTTAATGAAATGAATTCAGTATCACTAAACTACTGATTTGTAGTGTTAGTTAATTATGACGCCTAGTACAAGAAATACATTCTGTTGTACTAATGATTAGTAATTAAGTGTTGGAAATTTCCAACACTAGACGACATGCTATGAATGTGTACAAAGATAATAACGTTAGGAAAGAAAGTCTCCAGTCTCCTGTACAAGGGGTCGGGGGGTAGTCGAGGCTCCTGTACAAGGGGTCGGGGGGTAGTCGAGGCTCCTAGTTCCCGGTTGAGTGCTAAATAGCCTTCCCGACTTGGTGCCTTCTTTGATAATAACTTAGTTCCTGGTTGAATGAAATTCTAAACCAATATTATATGATCATTGCCGCGAAAGGGCAATGATCAACACACTGTGATTGATTACCAGCAAAAAATAGAAATTAATAATAGAGCATTTTTTCCTTTTCTTCCGCCTTCCCTCCGTCAGGAGAGTGTTGTCCTACCTGTAGCAGCTGTGTCAACGGTACCGTGGACGACACCTGGCGAGCCGACCCCTGCACCCACTGTCGCTGCCACCAGGTGAGCACCACCACCCACTGTCACAGCCACCAGGTGAGCACCACCACCACCCACTGTCACAGCCACCAGGTGAGCACCACCACCACCCACTGTCACAGCCACCAGGTGAGCACCACCACCACCCACTGTCACAGCCACCAAGTGAGCACCACCACCACCCACTGTCACAGCCACCAGGTGAGCACCACCACCACCCACTGTCACAGCCACCAGGTGAGCACCACCACCCACTGTCACAGCCACCAGGTGAGCACCACCACCAACTGTCACAGCCACCAGGTGAGCACCACCACCACCCACTGTCACAGCCACCAGGTGAGCACCACCACCACCCACTGTCACAGCCACCAGGTGAGCACCACCACCACCCACTGTCACAGCCACCAGGTGAGCACCACCACCACCCACTGTCACAGCCACCAGGTGAGCACCACCACCACACACTGTCACAGCCAACAGGTGAGCACCACCACCAACTGTCACAGCCACCAGGTGAGCACCACCACTCACTGTCACAGCCACCAGGTGAGCACCACCACCACCCACTGTCACAGCCACCAGGTGAGCACCACCACCACCCACTGTCACAGCCACCAGGTGAGCACCACCACCACCCACTGTCACAGCCACCAGGTGAGCACCACCACCACCCACTGTCACAGCCACCAGGTGAGCACCACCACCACCCACTGTCACAGCCACCAGGTGAGCACCACCACTCACTGTCACAGCCACCAGGTGAGCACCACCACCACCCACTGTCACAGCCACCAGGTGAGCACCACCATCACCCACTGTCACAGCCACCAGGTGAGCACCACCACCACCCACTGTCACACCCACCAGGTGAGCACCACCACCACCCACTGTCACAGTCACCAGGTGAGCACCACCACCACCCACTGTCACAGCCACCAGGTGAGCACCACCACACACTGTCACAGCCACCAGGTGAGCACCACCACCCACTGTCACAGTCACCAGGTGAGCACCACCACTACCCACTGTCACAGTCACCAGGTGAGCACCACCACCACCCACTGTCACAGCCACCAGGTGAGCACCACCACCACCACACAGGTGTCACACCACCACCAGGTGAGCACCACCACCACCCACTGTCACAGTCACCAGGTGAGCACCACCACCACCCACTGTCACAGCCACCAGGTGAGCACCACCACACACTGTCACAGCCACCAGGTGAGCACCACCACCACACACTGTCACAGCCACCAGGTGAGCACCACCACCACCCACTGTCACAGTCACCAGGTGAGCACCACCACCCACTGTCACAGCCACCAGGTGAGCACCACCACCCACTGTCACAGCCACCAGGTGAGCACCACCACCCACTGTCACAGCCACCAGGTGAGCACCACCACCCACTGTCACAGCCACCAGGTGAGCACCACCACCACCCACTGTCACAGCCACCAGGTGAGCACCACCACCACACACTGTCACAGCCACCAGGTGAGCACCACCACCACACACTGTCACAGCCACCAGGTGAGCACCACCACCACACACTGTCACAGCCACCAGGTGAGCACCACCACCACACACTGTCACAGCCACCAGGTGAGCACCACCACCACACACTGTCACAGCCACCAGGTGAGCACCACCACCACACACTGTCACAGCCACCAGGTGAGCACCACCACCACACACTGTCACAGCCACCAGGTGAGCACCACCACCACCCACTGTCACAGCCACCAGGTGAGCACCACCACACAAGCATTTATAATATTTAAGAGCAAAAATATAGTGTAACTAGAAATGAACTAAGCATGGATGGGGGGAGGGGGTGGAAAGTTAGTAGACTCCTTCTACTCTCCTTAACTTTGGCTCCTTGTATCATTCCCGCTCCCCAGGGGTGCCCTCCCAGCCCTTGCTCCCTGTACCCTCTCAGCCCGGTACATATACCCAACTTTACCCTAACATTAGTGTAAGATGTGTGTGTGTCCTCAGGGTGAGGAGCGGTGCTACACCCTGGAGTGCGCCCCGCCACCCTGTCTCCACCCTGCCAGGCCTCAGGGAGAATGTTGTCCCGTGTGCCACCACTGTGACTACAACGGGGACGTCATCCTGCAGGGGGACACCAAGGTGGTCGCCCCCTGCCTCTCCTGCACGTGCAAGGTTCTGTACAGTAATCCTCACGTCTCTCTAATTTCTTGATGCAGTGATATTATAAATGTTAGTAAACTGTGTCTCATAAAGGTTGTGATCAAATGAGAAGTGACCCCTGGCCGCCGTGACCCCTGGCCGCCGTGACCCCTGGCCGCCGTGACCCCTGGCCGCCGTGACCCTCGCCGCCGTGACCCCTGGCCGCCGTGACCCTGCCCACAGCCTCTGATCATAACACTGCTTGTGTGGTGAATTTGTTATTAATTCTGGTGGGCAGTGGACTGTACAAGAATATCAAATAGTTTGGTACCATATGCAGGCGATGAGTCACAATAACGAGGCTAAAGTATGATGACCAGACCACACACTACAATGTGAAGGGACGACGACGTTTCGGTCCGTCCTGGACCATTCTCAACTCGATTGGTACAGTTTGGTACCACAATCTCTAGGGGGTTTAGTGTATTGAAATTGTATTTATTTTCAATTAGTCTATTTAGTCAGTAGTTGAATACGTTCCGTTTAATTTCAGATATAATATACACTTTATTTTACGATTAATTGGTGGATAAAATAAATTCAGGCTAGTATTATTAAAGTTGAAGGCCTTGGCCGGCATGGCTCGCCTCAACGCGGACGGATGCCAATATGGCCGCCCCAGCCTCCTCCTCGCTCAGTGTTCCCTGTCTCTCTACTGTCATTACACCTTTTTCACACTACGTCATTATTCTTGGCGCCTACATTCAGTACGGACCTGTTACGGCCCTCTCGGGTCGCAACTGGGTTCGTACTCTGATGTCGTTAGAGGAAGGGTATCCGGCCCCAAGCCAGTAGTGGCTTTCAAGGGATGTGATCCACAACGCAAGTAAATTAAAAGGGGAAGGGAAATAAAGTCAAAACTTAATATAATATAATAACCGCCACCAATAAATAATATATAAAAGGTTACACAGGGGGAGGGGTATTAACACTATTATTAACAAAGTAGTCTTCTTCTGAAGATCCTGGATCTTCTCGGTGCCAAGTTCTCGGTGCTCTCGTGGCCTCATGACGAATCCTTCGAAAAGCTCAGTCTACCCCGGCCACAGGCCAGCCAAAACACAGTTCCACTGGGGGCACCGCCGTGGAGGCCGTCAACCACAAGTCCAGCAGACTGCTGGCAGGTTCCGGATCAGCAACGCTGGTCAGGCCACTCCACGAGCGATACTAGGGTAGCGCCCTAGTCAGGAGCCTCGTGTGATACCACAGATCACTCTCCTGTCCACAATACCCCAGTGGTTTTAAGCGTCTCCACCAGTCAGTCCCGGGTACGACAATCCTCCAGCTGCCACTTCACTGGCAGGGTAACACCACAGTGTTCATCCGCGAGGCGACTCACAGCTGCTGCAGCAAAGCACTTGGTGTCGAGACGGCTGCCTTGGGTAGACTGACTCAACTTCCATTACAGCAGTCCCAGGTCGACTCTGTAAGCAGACACGTCATCAATAACAGGGACACTAAAGCACCTCACTTACAGGCTCAGACCCAAACGCCCACCTATCCACTCCATAGATGGCGTTGTCGTCTGAGCACCACCTCACCAGAGGTCAGCAGCGGCTGTGTTGTGAGCTGAACAGGACTGGAAACTGGCCCTCGTGGCCAGTACACCTCGTTCTCACCAGGTGTCGTCGTCCATTTGGAGGGGGTTTCGGGAGCTGACCCACAGATGGCGCGGTCGTCACTGCTCTGTGCTCGGACGCTGGATTCGGGTCCGTAACAGGGCCACTCTGGTATCATTACCTGGTCACTTATGGCCCTCTACATATTGCAAAAGGCCCCCAGGGGGACCATGTCCCGCGGTTGGGGAACGAGTGAACTCAGCTGGGTGAACTGATGGCGTCGAATTGATGTCCTGCCGACAAGGTTTAGATTATAGTGACACAACTATAAGTATATTATACTTATTTGCAGTTCAAACTGGGCAGCTGTAGCATTCACTTAATAATTATTGTTTTCATATCTCATACCCGCTCCCCGACAATCTCTATACTACGTAAGTATATCATATTTGTCCACAATAGAGAACTCAAACAGCAGCACCAGCAAGGGGGTTTCACTCAACTGTGATTAAGTGTAGGGCGGACATCAACCATATTTGAGGTCTTGGAGGTTGTATAACCACCCCATCCTCCTAAGGTTTTCTAACGTTAAGAAACTATCTACTACAGTGCCCTTTTCCTGACCTACCAGAAGACCCAAAACAGAAAACAGGACAGTATGTCAATTTCGCGAGCCGCTGCCATTTTCTAGTAAGAGGATTTTTGCCCGTAGATAGACTATGTCAAATTGCGACGCTCTATTAGGACAGGTTGAGCAACAGGAATGTCGCATATCCATAGGCAGCTTAGGCATCCTCTCGTAATAGAACGTCGCATTTTGACACAACGCATATTGTTCAGTAATTGTTGACGGCGTCAAAACTGTATTATTTATAGATATATAAACTATCAATACTTCTCCTTTCTCCCCCCGCCACCAGTCCTCTACACCATGGGCCCACCACCACCACCAGTCCTCTACACCATGGGCCCACCACCACCACCACCAGTCCTCTACACCATGGGCCCACCACCACCAGTCCTCTACACCATGGGCCCACCACCACCACCAGTCCTCTACACCATGGGCCCACCACCACCACCACCAGTCCTCTACACCATGGGCCCACCACCACCACCACCAGTCCTCTACACCATGGGCCCACCACCACCAGTCCTCTACACCATGGGCCCACCACCACCACCACCAGTCCTCTACACCATGGGCCCACCACCACCAGTCCTCTACACCATGGCCCCCCACCACCAGTCCTCTACACCATGGCCCACCACCACCAGTCCTCTACACCATGGGCCCACCACCACCAGTCCTCTACACCATGGGCCCACCACTACCACCACCAGTCCTCTACACCATGGGCCCACCACTACCACCACCAGTCCTCTACACCATGGGCCCACCACCACCACCACCAGTCCTCTACACCATGGGCCCACCACCACCAGTGTGGGACATTTGGGGCTTGACTCTATTTATTTAAATATTAATGTAATGAAAATCAATTACGAAGGACCACCCGCTTTTATAGTAAAGAGGGAAACTAATAAAATGTGATCATTAGAAAATTCCTAGATGAACCAGTAACTATGGATAAATACTAGAGAATATAATCACTTATATAATTAATGGGCTGTATATAATTTAACTGAATCAAAGCCTCAAACACCTACATTGGGGGGGTATTACTAGAACTTCATATATGTCTAGGAACTAGTGTGGTTCGTGCACCAGTTCATTATGCAATAACCTAATCTTATGACCAATTATAGAATCATTGAATTTGTCACCAATAAGAACATAGATTATGAACATGAGAAATTAATGATTATAATAAACACGTGTTAATCCAGAAAACAGTGATCCGTAGTAATAATACACTACAGATAATGTAATTAATGGTATACGGAAAGGGTCTTAGCTTGAAGACGTTTTCAAAGACATCGGTCATGAATCATCCTCGGAATCTCCTGAACTCATCATGGAACACTGGGAGATGATTAACACGGGAAATGACAGCTCGGGGAATTCTTCACACACAAGCTGTAAATCAAGTTATATTCAGTAGCAACAGATTAGGCTGCTAAATATCTATGTTCAAGAAATTAAAATGGAGAGTGGAAACAGATAATAACCTGTGTTTTGTTTTAGTCGCTCGGCGTGACGACAAGCTACCCGGCTATAACCTATCCATAATGATGCATCGAAAGGGAATAAAGGTACTTAGCTAATAGCTAAGGTACTTAGCCACCACCACTGTGTAAGTTGAGGCTTGCCGAAGCTCGCGTCCTAGGTTCTGGCGTCGTAATAACGAACACGTGGTGTCGAGCCTAGCCTAGATGTTGACGCGCTTCTATGGCCGGTCACGTTGGGCTACAAGGAACCAATTAACAGGTTCCAGGCTGAACGTCAAGTTAATTCTCGTTGACAATTCACCACGATGTATCCTGTGACACTGACACCAGCTAAGTTGCTATATTCTGCAACAATTCTTCACACCTCACAGTGGCGACTTCCTCCTCCACTCTCACTCGGTGGCGTCTTCTTGAGTAATGGCGTCTCCTCTGCCCCCCGCTCCGCGTCCCGCATTTGATACACAAATTATTTACTACGAATATTATCATTTCTCGCAGTTGCGACTGAAATGCTTGGATAATGACGGGTTTATTATATAGAGGAGTTAAATATTATTATTTGCTCGTTTTACGATGGTAAACGAGCAATGGAGATGAATGTAATTCTCTCCCTGGCATTCACGCGTGACATTAAATTTATTACCAGATAACAGTTGTAACTAGAAACGCTCTATTTGGCATTATTTGGGAGTCAGGTTATCGGTAATTAATTATCACACAGAACACTGTTGGTTTTAGAGAATCAAACTCAATTCTCTGACACACTGGATATAGATGTGTTTATTATGGTGGAATCTGACGCAATACTGGCGTCTGGTGACGTAAGAATTCGAGCCTTATTGTACAGATACAATTATTAGTACATGTGAACTCTACGGTTGGTTAATTTTAATTACTACAGTGATTAGTAGATTTAGTAATAATTAATAATAATACAACAGTGTTGTATTATGTTGGAAATTTCCAACAACCAGTCCTCTACACCATGGGCCCCCCACCACCAATCCTCTACACCATGGGCCCCCCACCACCAATCCTCTACACCATGGGCCCCCCGCCACCAGTCTTCTACACCATGCCCCCGCCATAACTACACCCATGCTACACCCACAGGCCGGAACGGTGAGCTGTGTGACGGAGCGGTGCCCGCCGCCCCCCTGCCCCGCCCCACAGGTGGAGGAGGGGCGGTGCTGCCCCTCCTGCCCGGGACAGTGTCATTATGACGACCGCACCTTCACCAGCGGCCAGACCTTCACGCCCTCCTTCAACCCCTGTCTCTCGTGCTCCTGTCAGGTAACTGTCAATCCTGTCTCTTGTGCTCCTGTTAGGTAACTGTCACTCCTGTCTTTAGTGCTCCTGACAGGTCAATCCTGTCTCGTGCACCTGTCAGGTAACTGTCAACTCGCACCACTGTCCTTGTTTGAGAATCTGAAAAAGATATATGTCACATTAACATGGGGAACCCTGTTGTGAATTACTCATTTATAAGTCATTTCAATTAGTGTATTAATCGCAGATTAGAACAATCAGAGAGCACTTATTGAAGCGTACACCCGCGCAACAAATGTTACAATGTCAGACACTGCAAGCGGTAACGCTCTCCGATCAACGTGCCCAACCACTTGGACAGGACGGTACAGCGAAGTCCTCGCTTCTTGCGGGTCAGTGTTTGATCCTCTAGGGTCCAAGTGGTTGGGCATCATTCCTTCACTCCCGTCTTCATCTCTCTCTCTCCCACGGTCACCTCCTCAGGAAGGCAAAGTGAAGTGCCAGGCTGTAGAGTGTGGGTCGCCGCCGTGCCCAGGTGCCACTATAGTGCCAGGGGTGTGCTGCCCGACACGGTGCCCCGAGGCCCCGCCCTGCACCGACGCCTTCGGGGTGACGCACCCCGATAGAGACTCTTGGACCCAAGGTGATGCCCTCTGTCAGGTAGGTCCTCTTCCACGGTCACCTTACGTGCGCTCGCACGCCCTCAACCCTCACAGTATGTACATTCATGCATATAAGCTGTACATGCATACATATTGTACGTACATACTGCACATACTGTTCTGGCCTGAGGGGGTTGGGGCTTATGAAACTTAAACCTCCAAAGAGAGCTCTGGTTGCTGCACCAGACTGTTACTTGTGTTCAGGTAGACAACGTCCCCCAACAACTCTCTGCCGGAACAGACAACCGACCTCGGCAGCCACACACTCCCGCTACCGCCGATCGACCAACATTTAACACTGTAGTGCTTGAAGTTTGCTCAGATCACCCTATACGCCTCTTGATCTTGGAGAGGGGGTTCAGCATCACACATTTAGGGGTGCGGCTCCAACACTGGCCTCGTTATCTTGTGTACACACCCTACATGAGCCGCTGTGACTCCCCACTCTCTTTGTTTGGAATGATCTCCTCTATTCCCCTTTTTTAAATTAGTATTTTCTGCCACCCTGTCTGCAGCCATTATCCTTTTTCTCTCTCTCCTGCTTTCTGGGAGGCCTCACCAAGACAAGAGCACAAGTCAGCTAACAATACACATTTAATAAACGAAAAAACAAATACAATACATGATGAGTACAAAAATGAATTATCATACACCACTAAGCTGCTACAATCCAGTAGCAATCCAATATCATACCCTGGCTTCATCAACCGTCCATATCAAGTGGCTGCCCAACTCTTGGCTTACCACTTACTACTCCCTCACTAAATATGGGTGAAATCTCGTCATAACAATATTATACACTCAACCCTAAAAATATATAAACTCAGCCTGTGGCTGAAGCACCAGAAACATCTACATAAATATTCCCCAACACAAGAATAAATCAATCTCTCACCTTACACTGCGTCTTACACGCCAATAAGCACTCAGCACTTTCTTTATACATGCCTGTGTATCCACCATATAAACCTCTGTTCTGCTCCTGGAGGCTCACTACTTTGTATATCTCTAGGTCCTCCAAAATACTCAAAAGACTCTTCTGCAGTTCTCCCAAAACTGCTGCACAATGAAGTCCTCTTAAAACACCAGGATGCTCCACCACCACTGATTCCACGGAGACACATTAAACTCCTTCACACTGCTTGAAGTCCACTCCTCACTATGGAGTTCTGCTCTCCCACAGATTTCAGCATACACTTCTCCAGTCTCAAAATTTCTTCCATTAACTTCTTCCCTGGTCTCGAAGTTCTTCCATCAACTCTTCCCCAAACAAACCTGCAATTCCATTGCCATGCCAATAAAAATGTTTCCCTACTGAGACATAATTAAATGCATTCACAAAAGTAAAACTCCTCCATCCGATATCTCTTTAGAACTACTGCGTCGCCGCGACGGTCTTCCCCCACCCTGGGCGAGTCCATCTTTGACGTGTCTAGACAAGCTGCTGGCCGGCACCCGGGGGTTCCCCCCTCAGTCATCCATTGACCTTAGTCGAGGGAGGATGTATCACTCCTCCCTCCAAGATGTTCTCCTATCTCTACTCTCTTATTTCAGCTTACTGCCTTAATAAAATGTGTACTATATACATAAACACTTGCCATGATCACTGGGCACACGATCAAACACAGGCAACCACTGCAACAACTATTATATTAGCTTACCACAGAGTCTTTGTCTCGAGGGCGCTCAGGTCCTGGTCCTCAACAATGGCGCCCACACAGGTCGACCTCAAAATCGCTATAGGACTGCCTCACAAGGCTTCTTCTAGTCCTGACTTAAGCACTTGACATCTTCTTCAGGCTTCACACATAAACACCTGCTTGATTACCTCCTCTTGTAGGAGCACACAGCTAGGGGTTTTCCTCCTCTGCCAGGAGCTCAGCACAGTACCACCCCCTCTCACGACCTCTGTTGCTCAAGTAAGGTCGAGGTGTCCCTCTCCAACCCGTTCTCGCAAATTTAATAAGTCAATATTGACTTATTAGTTGCGTGCATAGGTGACATACTAAACATAATAGTTTCCCTTGAAAAGCTTCATAGAAAACACCGACCTTACCTAACCTATTTAGTATGTTAAAATAAGCATCTTATAGCTTCGTAATTACAATTGTTACTTAACCTATTATAGGTATAGGTTAGGTAATAATTGTAATTATGAAGCAATAAGATGCTTGCTTATCTTAACATACTAAGTAGGTTAGGTAAGGTCGGTGTTTTCTATGAAGCTTTTCAAGGGAAACTATTATGTTAAGTATGTCACCTATGCACATATTTAATAAGTCAATATTGACTTATTAAATTTGCGAGAACGGGTTGCCCTCTCATGTCAGCGAAGTATCGACATCTCATGTGAAGTCACTTATTTACATGTTCATCCTCTGCTCATGCTTTTAAACTATTCACTGACATTTGTCAAGCATTTAATATATATTCATAGATCTATACTTCCTCTGACCTCTCAATCAGGTCCAAATTGTCGAATCTTTGGGGTAGACTCGTTCTTCAGGCTACCTGGGGTCATTACAATACTTACTGTACATACATACTTTACATACTGAACATTCATACTGTACATACATTCATAGTGTACATACATACTGTACATACACATGCATAATGTACATACATACTGTACAGTAACGGGTCCTTGACCACCACCAATAAGAGGTGTCTGTTATTGGTGGTGGTGGTAGTAGTCTCTTGTCCAAGTATAGGCCAAAAAACTTTCCATCATTTTTATTGCTGATGCTAACATTGTCTATCCGAAACTGAATTGCATTTGTTGATTTGCCTCCAAATAAGATGCAGTAGGTCTTTTCTATGTTTCCTGAGAGTTCGTTGGTTGACGTCCATAAGTGAACTTTTTTTTTTAGTTCATTGTTTACAACATTACTTACTGTGTGTGGGGGGAGGGGGTCTAAGTAGATGAGAGTAGTATCGTCAGCAAACAATATAGGTAAAGAATGTTAGACACATAAGGCAGATGATTGATGTATACAAGAAATTGGAGAGGTCCTAAGATGCTGCCCTGCGACACCCCTACGGTTAATGGTAGAGTGGGAGAGCTTATATCACTGATGGCTACATATTGGTGTCTGTCACTAAGATAGGATCGGATATAGTTCAGGGCAAGGCCTCGGATTCCATAATGGTGGAGTTTCAGTAAGAGGTAGTTATAGTTAACAGTATCAAAGGCCTTTCTCAGGTCAATGAAGAGTCCAATTGGAAACTCATTTTTGTCAAGGGCTGAGTAGATTAAGTCAAGCAGACTAATAATTCTATCATTTGTACTCTTTTGGGAGCGGAAGACAAACTGACAGTGACAGTATGTTGAATTTTACGAGATAGAAGTAGAGCTGTTTGTTAATAATTTTTTCAAATATTTGTGATAATATAGGTAGATTTGATATTGATCTGTAATTGTTTGTCTGCCGGATTACCTCCTTTATGAATTGCCTCCTTTATATAATATCTTATACATATATATTTGTTGAAATCTCTCAACATTTCATCACATGCTGGCCTTTGAATGCATGATAGAGCTGATGAGTTAACAAAAGAATTTTCCTCTAAAGACGGAGTTGAGTATAACTTTGGATGGTCTTTAAACATGATAATAATAATACACCAGGACTTTACCCAAACTTTGTAGATCTGAGACGAAGTGAAGGTTACACTTACAGTTCCTACTATCATGCAAGAGGAGCCACGCATCTGTGGATCATCCAGAAAAATCAGTAGACTCCTAGATGTTACTATTGCTCGGCTTAGACTCTTCTATAAATATCTGCAAAGTTTCATTACCTCCAGATATAGACCTGATCAAATGTAAACTGTCAACAAAATTATTCGCACCCCCTCCGTCCCTATGTTATTGAGTGAGAAAATATACGTGAATTTAGAGACAACTCTTAAACAAATGTTAAAGAAGTGAATAAGTGACGACGCTGGAACCAATCGTATTGGCGTATGCCTTTCCATTGGAGACTTTCAGCGCCGTGGAGAGGGGGGACTTGCTGCCTGGGTAACAGCTTCTCCCCCGAATCAACCTACCCTGGCTTTGCGCCCTGGTGAGGCCACTCCAGACCGACAACCTGAGTGCAACTCCATAGTCTCCTGAGACTGATGGATGCCTACTAAAGAAGTGTGTAAATATTTAATGAAAAGTGAGCTGCTACCAGAAATTGTAACCAATATCCCCATTTCGCTTACCCGTAGGCAGTGAGTGTCCGTGATTGTAACTTTTCCATTGCTGCCCATTGGACGAAGGGGCGGTGTGCATAAGTCAAGTCAGTTATGAAACTCGCTCACCACACATGTAAGCAACTTAGCCTAGACACTTCACGTGCGGTCGTTTTCTAACTCAATGTTAATCGATTTGAGAACGACCAAATACAACCAAATTTGTATTTGGCTGTATTGAACCAAAGACAAATATACATTGAACCGTGTAACATCTTAACCAAGACTAACTTGCTGAGGTAAATGAATTTCGGGGTTCATGCAGTCACTGAACCTATTATGTACCTCTGTAACCGTTTCCACCACCGCCAGCAACATGGGCATGAGGTGCATAATGAACTAAATTATCTTTTTCACACCACACCACATAATGATGCAGGGTGTGCGAATAATTAGTTTGAACATAATTTACATTTGGTGAGGCCTACATCAGCAGGTAATGCAGAACTCCCAGAGATACTTCTCACCGAGTGTAAGCTGAGCAGTAGTAACATCTAGGAGTCTGCAGGTTAGTTTTACCAGTGAGTGTAGACGGGTGTATAGTGTAGGGTATCCGTAGGAGTGCCGGTGTGAAGCGGGTGTGGTGACATGCCAGGAGCCCAACCAGTGCCCTCGCTGCCCCGATGGGGTCCTTGACCCCGCTTCCTGCTGCCACGACTGCTCCCGATGTCTCCACGCCGGTCAAGTCTACCAAAGTGGGGTAAGATGTTCCTTCCGGCGTCACGAAGTCTTAAATCTAGAGCACCAAGCCATCAGACATTTAGACATTAAACTTGAATTTGCCATATTTCATGCTGGTATTGTACAGCAGATTTAGCTAAGGGGTTTAAGTTGCTTAAGAGATTCTAAATCGAATTTCTTTTTAATTACCTGGAGCTGAATGTTGAGTATATCACTGAGGGAGAGTTATTGGTCCACCAGACATGGTTCAACCGTGGGGGCGACCCTTGCCAGCAGTGCCAGTGTGTGGAGGGCCGAGTGATGTGTGGACCCAAGCTCATCTGCCCCAGACTCACCTGTGCTCGTCGACACCATCCGGAGGGTGCCTGCTGCCCCGTCTGTACTGGTGAGCTGCTTGCTGCTCCTCCCTACGAGTCCTCCGCCTCCTCTCTCCTCCACGGTGTTCTCCTCTGGTCACACCTATAAATATGTCACACTAATATTTGTTAATACTTACTCAGGAGCATCTTATTCATTTACCGTTTGTGTGTACGGTTGCCTCTGGTGTTTCAATATACGTAAAGTGTGTGGGGATGTGTCGTGTACAGTGGTGGTGTGTGGGGATGTGTCGTGTACAGTGGTGGTGTGTGGGGATGTGTCGTGTACAGTGGTGGTGTGTGGGGAGGTGTCGTGTACAGTGGTGGTGTGTGGGGAGGTGTCGTGTACAGTGGTGGTGTGTGGGGAGGTGTCGTGTACAGTGGTGGTGTGTGGGGATGTGTCGTGTACAGTGGTGGTGTGTGGGGATGTGTCGTGTACAGTGGTGGTGTGTGGGGATGTGTCGTGTACAGTGGTGGTGTGTGGGGATGTGTCGTGTACAGTGGTGGTGTGTGGGGAGGTGTCGTGTACAGTGGTGGTGTGTGGGGATGTGTCGTGTACAGTGGTGGTGTGTGGGGATGTGTCGTGTACAGTGGTGGTGTGTGGGGATGTGTCGTGTACAGTGGTGGTGTGTGGGGATGTGTCGTGTACAGTGGTGGTGTGTGGGGATGTGTCGTGCACAGTGGTGGTGTGTGGGGATGTGTCGTGCACAGTGGTGGTGTGTGGGGATGTGTCGTGCACAGTGGTGGTGTGTGGGGATGTGTCGTGCACAGTGGTGGTGTGTGGGGATGTGTCGTGCACAGTGGTGGTGTGTGGGGATGTGTCGTGCACAGTGGTGGTGTGTGGGGATGTGTCGTGCACAGTGGTGGTGTGTGGGGATGTGTCGTGCACAGTGGTGGTGTGTGGGGATGTGTCGTGTACAGTGGTGGTGTGTGGGAATGTGTCGTGTACAGTGGTGGTGTGTGGGGATGTGTCGTGTACAGTGGTGGTGTGTGGGGATGTGTCGTGTACAGTGGTGGTGTGTGGGGATGTGTCGTGTACAGTGGTGGTGTGTGGGGATGTGTCGTGTACAGTGGTGGTGTGTGGGGATGTGTCGTGTACAGTGGTGGTGTGTGGGGATGTGTCGTGTACAGTGGTGGTGTGTGGGGATGTGTCGTGTACAGTGGTGGTGTGTGGGGATGTGTCGTGTACAGTGGTGGTGTGTGGGGATGTGTCGTGTATACATCCCCACACACACTTTCACTGTACACAGCACATCCCCGCACACCACCACTGTACACAGCACATCCCCGCACACCACCACTGTACACGACACATCCCCACACACCACCACTGTACACGACACATCCCCACACACTTTACGTATATTGAAACACCAGAGGCAACCGTACACACAAACAGTAAATGAATAAGATGCTCCTGAGTAATTATTAACACATCCCCACACACATTTTCACTGTACACAGCACATCCCCACACACCACCACTGTACACAGCACATCCCCGCACACCACCACTGTACACGACACATCCCCGCACACCACCACTGTACACGACACATCGCCACGATGGTACCACGGGTGCATGGTATCACTTTTGGGTCATTGTTTGGAGGACGGGCTGAATTTACAGTGAAGGTGTGTGTGTGGAGATGTGTCGTGTACAGTGAAAGTGTGTTTGGGGATGTACTGTGTACAGTGGGGGTGTGTAGGGATGTGCCGCACACAGTGGGGGTGTGTGGGGATGTGCCGCACACAGTGGGGGTGTGTGGGGATGTGCCGCACACAGTGGGGGTGTGTGGGGATGTGCCGCACACAGTGGGGGTGTGTGGGGATGTGCCGCACACAGTGGGGGGTGTGGTGGTGGAGGGGTGGGAGGATTGTGTATAGCGTGTTCAAGTATCGTAACTGTAATTTTCTTGTCATAATTGCACAATTACAGAAAACAATTGTGTAATCTTACTAAGACAAGCAAAATAGTTTTAATGAATAGTTACTGATGGGAAGAGCGATGCTTGAGCTTTTTATAAATATCATGAAACCAACTACCACAGGTCAACCTGTCCTCACACTAGGCTGGTTAAAGCAGCGGCCGTCCTCCCCCAGACGAATTCATCAATTTTAACATACTGTGTATTTAACATTGGTTTGTTCTCATATATAAATTAATATTATTATTATACATAAAAATTCTATGTATAGTTAGGCGTAGGTTAGATTAGGTGTTTAGGTTCTGTTGTCGATTATTGTAGTACGCGGGTGAAGCATTTATAGCGTTGTGATTCGAACAAAATTCGTCAGTGAAGCACTTGTTCCGGATATGTTCGAACGTCAGCAGTTGAGAGTCGTGTGTAAGTCGCTTTTCATTCATAAACAGCTGGGGGTTTGGCGGGTGCATGGAATCACTTTTGGATCTTTGTTTGGAGGACGGGCTGTCATAGTACGAGGGCGAAGCATTTACAGCGTTGTGGTTCGAACAGAATTCGGCAGTGAAGCACTTGTTCCGGAAGTGTTCGAACGAAATCAGTTGAGTCGTGTGTAAACCGTTTTTCATTCATAAACAGGGGGTTTGGCGGGTGCATGGAATCACTTTTGGGTCATTGTTTGGAGGACGGGCTGAATTTACAGCATGTTAAAATTTATGAATGCGTCTGTGAGGTCGACCGCTGGATGTAATGGACTTGAGTCGAGGACGGGTTGCAGACAACAATATCGCTGGCATCAGCAGGAAATTCAAACCAATTGAAAAATTGTGTGAAAATGTTTCATCTCAAAACCTAGAATTCTTCAACTCAAAATATTATTACAGATTTTCAGAAAATCAGAAGCAAAATGTTATATTAATGATTTCTCTTTAGATAAATGTAAGTAATCAGAAAATTAGTTATATGTTCGCAGAGTTTGGTTCACTGTGTGGTGCTGGTGGTGACGGACATGTAGTAATTTCTCTTCTTGTAATTTTGCCCAGAAGGGCGACTTTGTTGGGCAACGCCACTCATCCAGTGAGTGAACATACCGCTATAGTGACAGTATTCGGCAGCGCCACTCATCCAGTGAGTGAACATACCGCTATAGTGACAGTATTCGGCAGCGCCACTCATCCAGTGAGTGAACATACCCCTATAGTGACAGTATTCGGCAGCGCCACTCATCCAGTGAGTGAACATACCCCTATAGTGACAGTATTCGGCAGAGCCACTCATCCAGTGAGTGAACATACCGCTATAGTGACAGTATTCGGCAGCGCCACTCATCCAGTGAGTGAACATACCGCTATAGTGACAGTATTCGGCAGCGCCACTCATCCAGTGAGTGAACATACCGCTATAGTGACAGTATTCGGCAGCGCCACTCATCCAGTGAGTGAACATATCGCTATACTGACAGTATTCGGCAGCGCCACTCATCCAGTGAGTGAACATACCGCCATAGTGACAGTATTGGGCAGCGCCACTCATCCAGTGAGTGAACATACCGCCATAGTGACAGTATTGGGCAGCGCCACTCATCCTGTGAGTGGACACACCGCCATAGTGACAGTATTGGGCAGCGCCACTCATCCAGTGAGTGAACATACCGCTATAGTGACAGTATTGGGCAGCGCCACTCATCCTGTGAGTGGACACACCGCCATAGTGACAGTATTGGGCAGCGCCACTCATCCAGTGAGTGAACATACCGCCACAGTGACAGTATTGGGCAGCGCCACTCATCCTGTGAGTGGACACACCGCCATAGTGACAGTATTGGGCAGCGCCACTCATCCTGTGAGTGGACACACCGCCATAGTGACAGTATTGGGCAGCGCCACTCATCCAGTGAGTGAACATACCACCATAGTGACAGTATTGGGCAGCGCCACTCATCCTGTGAGTGGACACACCGCCATAGTGACAGTATTGGGCAGCGCCACTCGGTGACAAGTTCGGTGTGTTTTCATATAGATTCTTCTCTCTATCCGCCCCCTCCCCGCTCAGCTCGTTGTCGCCGTGTGGGGGCTTCGTGGGCGGCTGCTGGAGTGTGATGCTCCTTCGGACAGTCCTCTGTCCTTTTCTAGCCTTGTGCTCCTGCTGCCGTCCTCTCCAATTCTGCTGGGCACCTTTTCCTTTTCCTTCTGTTTCGTTTTTCTCCCCCCTCTTCTCCTATCTGCTGGCCGTTTCCTGCCGACCTTTTGCTCGTTCTGGTTCTTCCATGGACTTCTTCTATTTTGACGCCCGGGTGCTTGAGGAGGCATACTCATGCACCCGTAGAACTGCAGTACCCGACGTCGAGAGCGAGGGGAACCTTTTATTGTCAATCCCCACTTCGTCACTGAACCCGATCTCGACGGACTGTCGGTTTCTTAAGGTGGCGTTTGTGGGGCGTATACTCACGACGCACCCCTAGGAGGCCCCGACAAGATCGGCGATAGCTTCTTGTTGGGTGTCCTGCCTCTAATTGTGGCTCCATGGTGGGTGTGGGGGCACATTCGTGAGTGAATTCGTAATTTCGTCAAGATGATAACCCCTGTTTCGGCTGCTTCTGGCTTACCTTTTCAGGCTCGTGGGGTGGGCGACCAAGCCCCCGAGTCGGTCCGTATTGGAAGACCGGGCTCTGTAGCCTCCGCTGCATTGGGCCCCGACCTTGCTCCTCCTTTGGCCTCTCTGACTCCTTCCCCTGGCTCCCCTCCCTCCTCTGTGGTTGGGTCGAGCCCCAAGCCCCCAGTGGTGACTACCTCGTCCCCTGGCGCGGCTCCTTCTCTAGTTGTAACTACTGCGCCTTTTAACCCCTCTCTCTCTGGGGGTTCTCACCGCCGTTCTCGTCACGGCCGCCCTCGCTCGATTCCTTCCAGTTCTGCTACCTATCAAGCCTTGTTTGGTCCCGCTTCGTGGGCCAAATATTTTGATCTCCTCCCTCTTGATTCTGCGCCTCCTGACGATTTCTCCCTTCATCGACATCTCATTGATTCCGTGGATGCCTCCATTACTTTTAACCCCACTCGTCTCGGTACGCGTGTCGTTGCTGCTCCTTCTCAGGATGCTGCTTCCCGCTTGGCTGCCTTATCCTGCCTTGGCGAGACCCCCGTTCGGGTCTCGAAGAACGCTCAATTGAATGCCAGTGTTGGCACTATTT